GGCCAGGACGATGCTGACACCTCTTCTTCTAGGGGGAAGTGGTTCTTAAAATTGGAAAAGAAAAGAAAAGTGAACCCCGCAACTGTCTGCAGCTAAGTGCGACACCTCAGCAGTGGTTCACATGGGAAGGGGAATGGGGGATAATAGACTTGAGCGAAGAGAGGAAAGAGAAAGGAGAGAGCGAGCAAAGGAAGGGGGGGACGCACAGATCGTCTACCATTCTCTTCTTCTAGCCACCATAACGATGCATTCAATGAAATAAGTTCATGGAGGAACTTGTTTCCTTCCTTTCCTTCCTCCGTGAACAAGTTAATCTGACGTCATAGCCGCCATTTTTTTTTTCGCCGCGTTTGTTTCCGCAGTCTATATGTTCTATACAAGGAGGATACATAAAACTTGCTGGAGTGGAAGCTGCCTATGCGCCGCTACGGGAGAGAGTGAAGCCGCGCCGAGCGTGCGGCGGCCATGTTGCCAGTGGAAGAAAAGAGCCGAGCGCTGCGAATTCATGCTTCATCGTGCTGCGGGTGAAGTGACTCGTGTGTTTATAAAGCAACGAAAACAAGTAATTCTGGTTGTAAATGTTTATTGCGACTTGTACGCAGCCAAGTGGCATGTAGAGAACTCAACTAAATTGCATATGCATCAAATAGCGATGCCTAACGCAAACACATCATCGAAAACATAGGTGCCCTACTGGTGGTTGAAAATTACTGCCCTTGTCAAAAGTGGTCCCACCTTACTTTTGACCGATTCTCGTTTTTTTTCCTTCGTCATGTGTTGTATCCTCACTTTTACGTATTGTTCGGCGATTTGCCTGCACAAACTGTAAACCTGATTATCAAGCGTATGAAAGTCTAGGACGTTCTTCTCTAGTTTATGGAACCAGTTTTTCTCGGAGGAAGCTCATAGAACTTTCAGGATGAGGTGTTTTGCTCTTGACTTCACCGTTGTGATGGAATCACATTCAGCCTGTAGCCGCCTCAGTCCTCGACTTCTTTACAGAGGCTAATGGCATCTCGCGACGGTGAAACAAGACCACCTCGTCTCTTACATTTAATTAAAGGTGTCAGCTCATCTGAGTGCATGGCTGCTATGCACTCTTCACAGGTAGTTGCAGTTCGACCTTTCGAACAATGAAGCTTGCTGTGTATGGCACCACGGAACCGACAAAAGCAGAAAAGCTTTCGGGCTAGTCAATGCGATGCGTATTGTCGTGGTGATCGGGCTGGAGGACTGGGGCCTTGCGCATGTCAGTGAGATTGCTTCTTGGATCTACCATGGCTGCAGGAGTCGTTGCATTCAATACGGAGAGAACATCTTGGGAGCAGTATCCAGAACTTGAAGACGTGACTTCCGTCTGAACCAATAGACGCTTGTATGCAGCCATAAACTGCGAAGCTGTTGGGTTGATGTTATGGCCGCCTCATCCACGTATTGAATTCAAAGAAGTTTTCGGCATAGTCTTGACTGAGTTTGTGTGTCAGTAAGTATTTCAGCTGACCCTGGCTGACAAGTCTGTCAAACATTCTTTCCGTGCTTGCCATGCGTATCCAAAAACCAATGAATCCGTTTTTTTTTTCAGTCCTTCCGTCACTGCCGGATCTCTCAGCCCATTTATGTACGCTCGAGTCTCCGCAAAAAACGACTTCCAGAATGCTTCGTTCCCCTGCCGAAGGGGCGCTTTGTACGACCTTGCCAGCGGGTTCCTGGAGTTTAAGATGTCAAACAAGAGATCAAAAGTTCTAATAAACGTAGATCTTGTGCTGGCACCCTTGAATTGCGGCAGCTTTAGCTTTTGTTCGCAGAAGTCCAAAGCGTCGGCAACTAAGGCACTCTATCAGTTGTACAGCTTATCATACCTTCATTTTCTTGCTTTTCCCATTGGACGTGGACTTTCGTAAGTTTGTTTCCGAGCCACAACCCTTCTTCACGTTGAAGTGCCTTCAATGCCACTTCATAACCCCATTTCACATGCTTCCCTTCAATGTCAAAGAGGTGGTCAAAGCACTCTGGCGTGAAGTGCACAGAGCGAAGTGATCTGAGTCTTTCGCATTCTACTTCTCACGGCGAACGGCCCACTCCCAGAGGCTCCGCGTTACGGGATCTTTAAGAAACCTGTGAAACAAATCCGGAGTATTATGTTTTGCACGCTTAGATCGCGTCAGCTATAGCTCCCTTTAGTAACGAGCGCGGAATGGCTATGTCGAAGACGTTTTCGTGTACGTACAGGTGGAATGTGAAGCCACAACATTTTTTCAACCTGTTGGCACATCCGTAAACGACGCAAGAGGCAACCATTGTAAACCATTTGTCTTTACATGCCGACAAGGTGAAACAAGAACGGACGAAATCAGCAGCTCGTCATGGCGCCGAGCACGCTTTTTGCCACTGGCAAGATGGCGGCGGCTGGCTTCACTCGCACAGCGCCCCTTCCACTCTAGCAAGTTTTATGTATCCTCCTTGGTTCTATATTTCTAGGCGGCTAGTTGCGAGTGCATGGCCGTGACGCAAGCTTAGAAAGTTTTGTGTTTGGCGACATTGCAGTCCCGTTTTCTATTTGAAAGTAATTCTTCATGCGGTCCGTGCAGAAGTGTGTCGCAGTTCTGTGTGCTGACGCGTGTTCAAATGGAGGCGGAAATGTTGTAGGCCCGTGTGCTCAGATTTGGGTGCACGTTAAAGAACCCCAGGTGGCCGAAATTTCACACGCTAGGTGGTGACAGTTGCACTCAGTTTTTGCAGCTCTCTCAAACCGAAACTAAAACTAACCAATAATGAAAGGCTTGTAATTGATTATCTGTCGCATACTTCAGCAATCAATGTGTTGTGTCATGACTAACAGGCCCCCAGCAACACATTGCAGCAGAAAAACGCGAGGCCAAAGTTTTTGTGTCAGAACAAGATAGAATGGTTACTCGCAACGATTTATTACACTTACCCGATTCTAACATGCACTTTTCTGTTGTAATTATTGGTTTAAAAGTTTCCAGCACAAGCGTGCAATGCGCAGTACAAACGTAAGTGAAACCGAAACCATGCTATCACCTGAGCTTTAGCAGGACAGTTGCTGCTTCACAATATAGCGACAGTTTGACAACGGCAGCGCACTATTTACAGTCTGTGTCTGAAAGCTGTTCTACATCCTAAGTTTATGGCGAATAATATTGTCCCTGAAGGTCCAAAAACTGTACGCATTCAAGGTGACCACTGCCGGCGACCACTGTGACGCTTTTTAGTCTAGTTATGGATCACATGGAGGCAGGTTCCTTCCTTTATGCTTGGATGTTGTTGAGGTTTTACTTCCCAAAACCGCGGTATTATTATAAGAAAAGCTGCATACAGGGATCCGTAAATTTCGACTACCTGGGGTTCTTTAACGTGCACCCAAATCTGAGCACACGGGCCTACAACATTTTTTTCTACTTTTTCACTTTTTTTGCCAATAACGGTGGCTTACTGAGAAACATATCGTGCAGATTTCTGAGAAGTTTCCTGCTTTGAATTCGTAAAATAGTGATCTTGTGCTAAAAATGAGTAGGCGGTGTTTCTTTGCGTTTTTTTTCACCTCTCGTTTCGTTTGGCCCACCGAATAATTAGATCACTCGTGGGTCCTGTCAGGGTCGAGGTATATGCCGATGCGCATAGGCATGCATGGTCAGAGTTCTCGTTGTAGGGGGTGAAGAGGGGGGGGGGGGGGGTATTTCTGCGCCCACTGAAATTTTTCATTTTTATGTTTGCGTATACGCACACATACAAACACACGTGGCGCGAACATTCATAAAGGTGGGTCACACATACCTCCATCCTCTTTTCTCTCGCAAGGCTCCGTCCCTGCCTTTGTGGCATACAACATGCATGCTCTGTAGCAGACATTACAGTTGTGTTTACTTATCTTCATGGTTTTTTTTTATTCTGAAAATTTCAAGAAACCTGGGCAACGGGTATCATGTTTAGAAAAACTGGACAATAAACAAGGAGAGTTTCAGTGATTTCGGGAACTTGAAAGGGACCGAGCAGTCCTTTGAGTGAAATAGTAGAGTTGCGTTAACAAAAAATTTTCTTTGGAAATCGAATAACACCAAACATTGGCTAACGTTGAATACAAAAATTTTTTGAAAGTTGAAAGAAAAAACAAAAAAAAGCAATATGCTCATGTCCTCGAGTGCATAGTGCAGTGAGTGCTATCGAAAGACTACAAAATGTCATGCAGAAACACGAGTACTTTCAGATGACCTAGCGTCAGGGGCTCTCACTGCGATGTTACGGTGCTTTCTGAAGTTGTAAACACATGCTCACAGAGCGTTGCAGTAGCAAGAGTGGGAATGTCTTGCAAAGCAATATGGGTAGTACATTGTATAGTGCAGCTCCATGCTATTTCCGGTATTCAAAGGAACATTCTTTCTTGGGCTCGTTAACCCAATAAATTATCTTTAATCTCTTGACTATAAAGTCTCAACTCAGTGTGTTAGTTGTTTTTTGATGCTAGTAGTTTCACAGCCTACCAGATTGTTCCCAGACCTTTTTTGCTGAAGCCGTAACATACAGAACTGACATAACATCCTTTATAATGAACATGAGCTCGCTTTTGAACCAGGATTTGGGAGGAAGTTTCGCTAAGAGGCCTACTATAATAACGTTAGCATTAATTGTAGCCACATCAATGCAACCCAAGTTGTACCATTGACTTTTGTTACGTTAGATATATTCATCCTATCAACCATTTGAAACATTGAATACTAGCCATCTGAAAGGCAAATCGAATTATTCAACTAGGTATTATTTGCTTCGCATACAAAACTCAAATATCTATGCACTCCTATCAAATAGTAGTTTCACTGCTGATAATAATATTAATTTAGTTTAAATTTCAATATCATTGTCAAATAACAAAGCAAGCTTATACTGAAAAAAAAAAGGTGCCTCAGAGCTTTTATACCACGAAATAGAGATTTTGTGAAAATAAAAATTCAGCAGAGTTTAACGCATGTTTTTCAATGCTTCAGTATGCTGAGAAGAGTCATATTGGACCTGGCATGCCGAAATCTACATCAAGAGTGCCTCAAAGAAGCAAAGCGACGCCTCTCAGCTTGGGTAGATGGTGGGCAGTAAGTATCCATTGCCACTTCCTTGTGTGCATGTCTAAAAAGAATGATACTCAAAGGTAAGTTCTAGTAATAATGTGTCTGCCATTCCATCAACTGAAAGTATTGAAATTAGTGGAAAAATGCTAACTCACAAATTTTTTATGAGGATGAAGAAACTGCACATATGCAAATCTTTTTCTTAAAGGGGCCCTGCAGCTCTTTTCCAAGTAATCATCTAATGACTTCAGTGAAGGAGTTTATTGCATCATTATTCGCCTGCTGCAAAAATTTTTAGAATCTGTCAAGTGCAAGCAGAGTTACAGAAATTTCTTGCCCACTTTAAGCGATTTTTTTATGCTTTTGTACCAGCTAATGAGCTGAAAGCTGTGTGAAGGGGGGGGGGGGGGGATGAGGGCTAACAAGGTGTCAAAAAATTAAGTCTGTTTATCAAGTCCTGAATTTCCTGACTCTGCTACTATATTTGTCTTAGCAACATGATTGCTGTGATCGCTAAGTAAAATGTTTCATTTGGATAAAGGTGAATAGCGCAGACCACCTGTTCATTGTTTTGCTAGTCTCTGACATATCTGTTTTAGTGGGTGCATTGGTATTTAATTATATTACATTCACAGAATGTAGAGTCTTTTTATAAAAGCATTTTGTCTTGAAAACACTTTTTAGCCCTGTAATGCCCTTGTTTTTAACCCTGTAATGCCTTGTTTTTATAAGTGTATATTATTCTCAGTCATAATGTCCAAGATATTTATGGATTCAGTTTTGGTAGGTTTGTTGATAGCCAAAAGTGAACGATCTAATTAAGATAGTCATGTTGAACTGTTTTGAAGAATGCATGGTTCATACCTGACATAAAGAGGCATTCAACTGACTTTTCTCATTGTGGAGCTCCATCTAACCTTAAAGGATGGCTTCACTATAATTGATGGATCTTGAGGGCATAAATAAGCACCAAGGGTTATAAACAGCCCCTTTCAAATACAACTATAACCTACAGTACTAGAGACACCTGTGAAATAGTTGATGCGCATCATGACCCCTGTAATTCTACTGTTTCTCTTAGCACTGTCTTTATGTAGAAGCAAATGAGCAGGCTCAAAATATTACGTAGAGGAGCCAATTTTACATTCTTAAGTTATTGTTATTTATTATATATAAAAAAATAATAGCTGAGTATAGGCACAAGGGCTTTGTGTCTAATTCACTGTATGCAATAAATTTCTCTTTTTTGTTGAAGGGAAGTACCAAGAAATATTAGAGGCATTGTTTACCGCTACGGAATTTACCAGAGCAGTGGTGACCATGAATGGCAGTTTATGTGGGAAAAATACTTGAAGGAAGTCTCAGCCCAAGAAAGGATCAACCTGCTTTATGGCCTTGCCCATGTGAGGAGTCCACCACTGATTCACAGGTAAAATATGCTCTTATACAATTATCATAAAATCCAGAGTAAGAACCCCTACCTGAACAAGCACCCCCTTTCTTCTTCGGGAGGTTGAAAATATGCAGCCTCTACTCCCCGCCCACCACTTTCACTATTTTATTCACTGTTTTTATTCAAATGAGGGCAAATTAAAAGAGTGATGCATGCATATTCAGTAGAGCATTTAATTAGAAGCAGGGGCGTGAATTCGCTCTTCCACAACCGACTTGAAGTTTGATCCATGATCCAGCAAGTGCCCCTCCCTCCCCCTGTAAATCTTGTCGAAATATTCTTCATCGTACGGAAGGGGGAATCCCTTGTGATGTTACGGTATAACTATTAAAAATGAGAATATGTCATTTAATACTGGGTACTGTTGGTATTTTCAAAAATATGGTGTCCTACAGGCATAGAAAACACTTTGATTCTTGTATATTTGGTTATGTTGAGCAAAGCAAAAACTAGGAGAGTAGGAAGCAAAAATTTTTTCGAGCAATGTTTTTTTAAGTAGGCTGGCTGACTTGTTATAGAAAGACTGTGGTTGCATCAATGTTCCTCATTTGTTGCTAACTGTGAATAAGTGTTGAAACTGATACTTATTTAAAAGCATGTAAATGGCTTAATGATGGCATAAATTATGCACACTATTTTTTAAGCAGCCCTAAAATTTCACACGCAGGAGCAGACACACAAACAATCTCTGTGCTTATGAAATCTTATCACAATAATGTTGACAACCAAGGCTTCAGCTGATGCGTCAAAATTGTTTAATTTTCATTCTTACTCGAAACACGCATCCTGGCATTGGCTCTATATATGATTGCATCGATAGCCACTGGGGTCAAAGCTGTGAAACATAGTAGCCATATTTTCTCTGTGTTCCTTCAGAACTGCATAGTTGCCATCCATGATTGTGCATCGGCGAGTCAGGTTTATCCAGCAACAGGTGCAGTGCTCAGCAGTTTCGTTTCGAGTCTGGACGCAGGTCACACGCATGCGTTCAGAGTTGTGCGTATGCTATGATCATGTCTTCAGTGACCGTGGTTTCTAGCACAGCTAATGTGGCACTCGGGAGCTTTGTTTTGACTTCAGGCAAAGCATGTAAGCTGTCACAAAACTTAAAAAAAAACATGGGGAAAGCTCTTGAAGATGAAGAGCTTCAGCTATGGTTCGCATGCTGGCATAAAACTCGCTTGCTTCTTTGGGATGAATGGCTTAGCATTTGCTGGCTTTTCTTCTGTGAGAAAATTGTCAAGTCTGCATATGGTGGTGATAGTGATAAGCAATAAAAGATAGGTTTGGAGCATGGCAGTCTTAAGCCATTGTCACAATGTGTGTGCAATCGCAAATGACAAAAATTACGACTTTTACACTGCCATAATGCAAAGTATTCAACTATAAAATGAAAATGGATTCATGTAATAGACATTTGTTTATGGTTTTCTCGATAGTTTTGATAATTTGTCATTTAGTTGATTCGGGCATTTTTCAGAGTTCTATGAAGTCTGAATTAGCAAGCTTTTACTGTATTATGTTCCGCAATCACCCTCGTGCCCTCTCTTGTCTGTGTAATTTTAGGATGCTTGAACCAGCTAGCTCATGCACATATTTTCTTAGGAATATGCATTGGCCAACCTATTTTTTATTAGAGCTATAAAAATTCTTAACTAAATCAGCTATGAGAATTCTTAACTAACGCTTAAGCCCCAGCCATGCAACTCTGCGAAGAAAGTCTTTTTCGTTTTTATATACCAATATAAGAAGCATCCTTCCTGAAGCCGACACTCTTCAAAGCCTAATTAATACAACGGAGTCCAATTTGTTCGCGATTATAGAGACATGGCTTAACCCTTCTATTACCGAGACTGAGTTGCTACAGCTTTTCCCAGATTTCGATGTGTTTCGACGTGATCTTACTAATAAACGGGGTGGTGGCGTACTAATAGGTAGCCATAAAGATCTTCAGTGTAGCATAATTAAGAAATCATCGTGCTTAGAAATCATGTTTGTTCTTTGTAATGCTTGTTATCCCCCCACAATAATAGGTGTTTGCTATCGTCCCCCTGGTAGTGACCCCCTTTTTGTATCAGAATTCCACGGGGCTATTCGCTCCTTAACTGAATCTTATCGAAATTTTTCTATACTGCTTTTCGGTGACTTCAATTTTCCGGCAATACCTTGGACTAACCTAGCATGTGTTGCTTCCAAAAACAGTATAGAGAGCGATTTCGTCAATTCATGTCTAACGTTTGGACTTACGCAATTAGTCGATAAACCTACGTGCGACAGTGATAACTTCCTTCATATTCTTGACCTTGTTCTCACTTCTGAGCCTGAAAGAGTGTCCCAGATGACGTTCCTACCAGGACTCAGTGACCACTTAGTAATCCATGTGTCCTATTCTTGTAAACTACACTATTCAACAAAAATAACAAAAAATATAACACTGTATGATAAAGGCAATTATTCCGCTATAAACTCAGATCTCGAGCAATTCGCTACTTTCTTTTTTATCGAGCTTTCAAAGCGTTCGGTCGAAACTAATTGGCTGCTATTCAAAAACAAAATGTTAGATCTATTCACCAAGCATGTGCCCACGATTACCGTAACCAAGAAAAAGTCATCCCCATGGTTTAACATGACATTAAAACGCCTAAATAACAAAAAGAAACGACTCTTTCGATTGACAAAGCGGTCCAATAGCGCATGCGCATGGAACAAGTACTACGCTGCAGAAAAAGAATTCGATAAACTTGCTAACAAAGAAAAAATTTTATCTTTTACACAAACCTTGCCCGCTATGTTAAGCAACAACCCCAAAAAATTCTGGCGCGCAATTAACCCCAGTACCTTCCAACCTTTAGTGCTGCACAACGATCAAAATCATTCAATTTCCAATCACGAAACCGCCGAACAACTTAACAGCTTTTTTTCTTCCGTGTTTATCGTTGAACCTGTCAATAACTTGCCTTCATTTCTTAATCTCAACCATAGCGAGATGCCGGATATCACATTCTGCTCAAATGGCATCGCAAAGCTAATCAACTCACTGAAACTAACATTTTCATGCGGCATCCACGGTATCCACACAAAAATGCTCAAAAACACAAATCAATTGCTAGTACACTACTCTGTCATATTTTTCAGCAGTCACTATCATCAGGAGTGGTGCCGGAAGATTGGAGAGTGGGCAAGATTGTTCCAGTGCCCAAAAAAGGTCTTTCATCTCTTTGCAGTAGTTATCGGCCCATTTTCCTTACTAGCATTTGCTTCAAACTAATGGAGCATGTGATTTACTCTTACATCATCAAGTTCTTAGTCAGCAATAACTATTTTCATTCCAGTCAGCATGGCTTTCGCTCAGGATTTTCATGTGGCACAAAACTAGCCTTATTTTATCATGATATCAGTTCCAGCCTCGACATAAATATACCTGTTGACACCTTCTTCTTAAACTTTGAAAAAGCATTCGACAAAGTCCCGCATCAATGGCTACTACTAAAGCATTCTCGTCTAAACATTAATACAAATGTATTTAATTGGATTCGCAGTTTCCTTACCGATCACCAACAATTTGTGCATGCTAACTCCGTCTCATCTAGCCGTTCCTCTGTTATCTCTGGTGTGCCTCAAGGTACAGTGCTCGAACCATTACTTTTTCTCATATACATCAATGACCTTCCATCAAACATCTCTTCAAGCATTCGCCTCTTTGCAGACGACTGCGTCGTATACTGTCCCATAGCAAACAGTGCAGACACTACTGCACTTCAAAACAACCTCAATCTAATTGTATCCTGGTGTGATAAGTGGTTAATGTCTTCAAACATAAAGAAAACTTCATTGGTATCTTTTCATCACAGGTCCCATCACCAGTCAGCAGAATACACCATTTCGGGCACTGCAGTCTCACCCGCTGAATCATACAAATATCTTGGTGTCACATTTTCAAATAACATTTCCTGGTCAGCCCACGTGACTAACATAGCCAACTCCGCAAATCGCACTCTGGGTTTTCTACGTAGACACTTAAGACTTGAGCCCCCATCAGTTAAACTAATATCGTATGTCACACTTGTTCGTCCAAAATTAGAGTATCCATGTTCTGTCTGGAATTCCTACCAATCTCACTTATCCAACATTCTCGAATCGATTCAAAACCGTGCTGCACGTTTTATCTACTCTGAATATACCTACAATTCCAGTGTTTCCAAACTCAAAACTCGTGCTCATCTTTCTAATCTAGAATTACGATGTCACATATCTCGACTATACCTTTTTCACAAATTTTATCATGCCCCCATCGAAGTTCCAGCCATCCTGCCAGTCCATCGCTCATCAAGCTGCACAAACCATTCAAGGGCAGTGTATCCTCCACCAGTCCAAAGCACCGCACATCTTTGCTCCTTTTTTGTGACAACAACACGGGACTGGAATCATCTGCCTGCAACTACCGTGCACCACTTCGACCCGCATCAATTCAAGATTGCCCTCGAATCACTTTTTTTATTTTGTAATTAATACCCATCCCTCATGTAATACCCCAGCTGGGGCCTTTGAGGTATTCAAAATGAATAAATAAATAAATAAATAAATGAATAAATAAATAAATAAACGTACTTTATTTTGGTAAACTGCTACAGGGAAGCTCAATAATATACTTTTTATTTATTTAATGATTCATGACAAAATTCATTACAGATACTCGTTATATTAGGTAAGGGAGGTTTTAATACAAGCTGCACGAATGTAAGTAAACGCACTACATAAAAGCTATATCGGTGAATTAGTGCCAGACACTCAAAGATAATAAGAGATAATACTGTAAATACATTTCACTGAACAAGTTTTCTATAAGACTTATTTGAATAAATCATTACAAAAAAAATAAGAATGATAGCATGAAGCTTTTCATGAAACTCTCATTAAATAACTATAAACATTTTTCCGGTTTACTTTTCATTGCTCTGCTTTCAGAGAAGATTATTCCACAGACATATAGTATTTAAAGCAACAATAAGTTAAATGCCTTACTGTTATCCTAGATGTCTGCACAGGGTTCCTAGTAGGTGATAATCTTTGTGGCGTATAAAACAGCACCTTCAGGCACACTTAAACCGGTGCCCTTTTTTGCAATAGCACAACAAAAGGACTACATCATGGCTGTTGCTAATAAGCCACAGGTAAAGAAACAGTTCCACTTGTGTTACATTCTAGGGGTAGTTATGAGCCCCGCCGCAGTGGTCTAGTGGCTAAGATACTCAACTGCTGACCCGCAGGTCCCGGGTTCGAATTTCGGCTGTGGCAGCTGCATTTCCGATGGAGGTGGAAATGTTGTAGGCCTGGGTGCTCAGATTTGGGTGCACGTTAAACAACCCCAGGTGGTTGAAATTTCCGGAGCTCTCCACTACGGTGTCTCTCGTAATCATATTGTGGTTTTGGGATGTTAAACCCCACATATCAATCAATTAGTGGTAGTTACTATTTTACAAAATGAAATGAGGGCCTCAGTTTTGAACTGCTTCTAACAGTTAGATGGAATAATTTAGGGACAAGATTGAAAAAGACTCAAATTTAAGGCAAATGAATGTTTTAAAGGTTCATTTTTAAAGAAAGAAGGATTAGCTTTGAAGGTTTTCACATAAACACCTCAATAGTCTGGCTGCATAGATTTCCACTGGAGTAATATGGAGAATCCAATATGGTGTGGAGCAAAGCTGACACTGACATACTTCAGTGAACAAGCCTTGGCTACTGTGATCTTCTTTTATTTTTTTTCATAGAATACAAAAAGTTCGGTAGAATAGTTTTGGCCTAAAGGGCATTACTCTTCATTTTTAGTCCACTAACAACAAAGGGGGGGGGGGGTTGACATTACAGTGTCACATTAATCATTATTTACATGGAGGTCTTGAAGAGTGGTGTGGTCAGTGTAATTCTTGATGGTATAATGTATATAATGTGACATTACAATTGGGATGTGATTGCCCACTATAGTTACTTGAGTGTTTCATCAATCATTTGTTTCACATTTTAAAATGCATCATCTAACTAGCATAGCCATAATAGAGGAAGGGTATACATTGTTCAGCCTAATTTGCTATCATAAATATTCTGGTACACATTAATACAATACTATATGTAAAAAGAAATATATATATTGATGCCATGAAATTACCATACAAGCAGCATTTAGAAAGTCAATTCAAATTATTCCATAATAAAAAATGCATTTAGAGTTTTACAGGGTTATTCTGTAAAAGGTTACTGCGTGGACTATACACATTAACACGCACTGTCTAGATAGGGCTGGATAGTCAACAATGACGATCGGCATGAGTTTGCCACCTCTCGAGCTTTTTCAAATCGATGCACAATGATAAAGTTAGCCCACGTGGTGGGCTCCTCTGTTGTCTACAAAAGCTGTATGATGAGCTGTATACCACCTCTGTTGTCTACAAAAGCTGCATGATGTGATATTTGCAGGTAACTTCTAGAGAAATAGAACAAACCATGCATCATAAAGCACGAATACTTTAATCACATATAATGCCACAATAGAGCCCGAATAGTGGTTGACGTTTAAAAGTTTTATCAAATATTTATCTAAAATATTTGCATATTGGTGTCTTATTCCAGGTGGGCATCTTATTATGAAAGGCTTGAAAAAATAACTGTCCTGTAAATATTTTAATGAGTAAAATACATTTGTGGCATTTTTTCTCTAAAAGAGCCATGTATTGTGGGGCTTACTTTAATACCTTTTCGCCAGTGGGCTTCTATCACCAAAGTACTTCCAACCTAAATTGCAGCCCACTATCGTCATTATTCAGGAGTAAAAATTGGATTTGGCTCTTATAGATTGGAACATTTCATTTTGGCTTGAATGAGCCTGTGAAAAAAGTCGAAATTGCAGCAAATAAACATTATAGCAATACTTGGTGACAAAATTAACACCATTCTTGTGCTTCCATCTGTGCCATTCTTTGTTGCATGCACTTACTGGCAATGATTATGCTTGTGGAGTGAGAGGCCCTTCTAAGTAAAAGGCACATCATTGTGGTCTATCAGCAGTGTTTTTTAGGTATTGGCATTTACTGAAGGCCCTGTAAAAATGCTTTAGCACTTCTTATTCATAGCTCATAAAATGCTGCACCATTTCAAATTTTTTCTTTTTTAAGGGATAGATTGGTGCCCAACATCTTCATTTCAGTTGTCTTCTATGTCAAATATATTGTCTTGAAGCAAGAGAAGTACATGGTACTATAGTGCAAAACTTACAGGTAGAGACACGAATGAAAGTCAGCCTTTTACTTTATTTGTTCGAGTTTTGCCCTACACCATCATGTCCTTCATTAAGTCCCAACTTACCCAAGAATAACTAATTGTGTAGCAAAAGCATGTTTTCAAAAAAATCTAGGACACAAATAAACAGGTTGGTTGTTATGGTGGCTTTTTTGGTCATGATAGTTGACTGAGTGCAAGTTTGATGTATCTGGCTCAGTTTTATGCAAACAAGTCCAGGGTTAGGCTCGTTAAATCAAAACTCTCCCTTTGAGTTCACATTAAAACAAGGCAAGGCCTCATTTTTATCACAGTTATTTTAAAAATAAAAGATCCTTAGGCTCACTCTATGCTCTCATGAAATTTAGTTCAGTTAATTTGGCAATTGATCTCTTTTAGAAAAAGATATTCCAAATTCTAACTCATCGATCTTACGCACACAGCTACTCAATCAGTATGTATGTACATACACGGTATTTCATATCAACATGCCATTTGGTATTTTTAGTTTGTTTTAATATCAAATCATTTACGTTTTGTTTACAGATACTTGGCATATGCAATGAATGAGAGCTACGTCCGTAGGCAAGATTTTTTCAGTGTACTCTCCTTCCTTGCTGGAAATCCAGTTGGCCGTGACATTGTTTGGAAATTTGTGCGATACAAGTGGGACAGGCTTGTCCACAGGTAAGAGAACCTGTGCAAAGAAGCCTGAGGTTTTCTTTTGTAGTAAGAGTTAGCTAAAGTTGAAGACTGGCATTAATGCACAACTTATCATTTAGATTCTCTCTGAATGACCGCAACTTTGGAAATGTTGTGAAGACAATATGTGATTATTTCACGAAACAGTTTGATTACAATGAGGTAAGTGGGTGCTTTCAACATCTACAAAGTAGAAGTAGGCAATAGGCTCACTGAGCATATAGAGCCATTCATGTCCATGAGACATGATGTAAGAACTCCTTTTACAGATGCAGGCTTTCTTCCACAAGAACCCAAATGCTGGTGCAGGCAAGAGAGCTCGTGAGCAAGCTTTGGAAAATGTTCGCAACAACATAGCATGGATCAAACATCATGAACCCAGCGTGGCCCGATGGTTGACCACCAACGTCATTCCAGAACCCTGGGAAAATATGCGTTTGCCGCGTCATGTGATTCCAGCAAGCTATGACATCACGCTTGAACCTATTCCTTCAGAAAATGTTACAGTAGGTTCTAGCACAATTAGGATCACAGTGGTGAAAGCTACCAGTGTTCTTCTGGTGCATGCAAAGAATGTCAACATTACCCGGACAGTTGTAATGCGTCACAAGCGTGACACATTTGAAGAGGTCTCCCTGCTTATTGAACCTTTCTTGTACATAGAAAATGACTACTGGGTCATACAGACCAGGGACATTCTCCCTCCTGGAGGCTATGTGCTCAAATTTGAGTTCAGTGGTTCCATGCTCAACTACCTGAGTGGCATCTACAAGACAAGCTACTGGGATGAAGTATCCCAAAGCAACAAGTGAGTTCAAACAGATTATATGTTGCTGCTATCCTGCTGCTTTCTGGAGAATTACAACAAATAAGTCACACCATTGATCTGCTTAACATTTTTCTTATGCAGTAAACTTGGGTATTAGTTGGGATGTTGTAACCATAAACGAGCTATACTTCTATGATTCATCATATTTCAGGTTTAATTCCAGTCATATCAGCATGTGATAGACGTGTATATGTTATGAGTGTGAGTTAGATAACTTGCTGCAGGTGCGAGCTGAACCCATGTGCACAGTGCATGAGTGGTTGTTTACAAGTTTAGATATTGTGGTGGCTATCCGCCTGTTTACTTTGTTGGGCAAAGGTGTTTTCAACCAGCATGACTGATTGTGGAAAACATATATCCTTATCGTTATCATATAACTATATCACCACAGTTATTATAGTATAACAGTTTTCCTTTATTTATTGTAAAAATTGACAACTGAACAACAAGCCATGCACTCGAGTGTTTCATTTCACACCTGAACATTTATCACCTCTATTTCCAAAATTATGTTTGCGCATTACACTAGTTGCAATTTTTGTATTTTTCTCTGTTAACATGAGCTTTTTATTTTGCAGGTTTATGATCACTTCACAATTTCAGCCCACATTTGCACGCATGGCATTTCCTTGCTTTGATGAACCGGGATTCAAAGCAAATTTTACGATAATGGTCATTCACAATGCTACAATGAAGGCTATATCTAATATGCCTGTTGACAAGGCAAGTTAGTTATTACTGCTGTTGTTGTCACTGTTACTGTGGTTGCAAACTATTTAGAAGAGTTATCAGTTGCTCATTAACAAGTTATTAGCTATAAAAGGTTATGAAGCTTGAAAGCTACAAGGAAAGGAAGTTTTACCATATTTTATAACTGCATCTTTCAACTCGAAGATTTAATTATACTTCTGCTCATGACAACGCTACTGTACTCCTCCAAGTTTTTACATTAAGGCACCTTGTAACATTTTTAAACTTGGTATGAGAAAGCTGCCTATGAGTGGTGAAAGCTCCTGTGAACATATGAATGAAATATTATTGCACTGCATGCAGCAGGGAGTTTACAATTACAATTAAAAACAGTTAGCAATCATTTGCTCTTCTTGAAAACTTACATCTTCAACCTAGAGGACCTATTGATGACGTAATGAAGAAGAATACAGGCATTGGCTGATTTAGCATTTTTGTACTAGTGTCGGCGGCTACCACAGAGTGCCGTAACATGCGAGCGCTGCTCTCTGTAGTGTGCCGCAATTACACAGTAGTGAAGCTAGCATGCTTGAGATCACATCGAAAATGAACTTATGTATACAAGTTCAAAGAAAAAATGCGGATAAAGAGCTCAAGGTCATGAAACTTGCTATGTAGTTTCTTGTCCCTTTGTAATCCATCCAGCCTTTTCATCAGAACAAAGGGAGAGGGAACACACCTAAAGGATGTGACAAATCTCTGTAACTCCATTCATACTTGATGGATCCTCAAAATTTTTCCACAAGCCGAATCTTGTGGTATAACCTTCCATAGTTAGGTCATTTGATGATTTTGTCTACAAATGTAGACACAATCATCAAAGCCTATGTGTGTTAATCATTATTAAAGCCTATGTGTGTTAACTTTTTCCATAGATCTTAACCTCTGAAACTGTTTTGTACAAAATAATGCTGCATCAACTTTGCTAGTGTTCCTGTTTTTCCTACCTTTTGCTGTTTAGATGACACTTAAAAACAATTCCTGCTATTTCATTTGCAGATTCGCATCTTGGATGACACCAGAGTTGCAACAAGATTCCAGGAATCCCACAAGATGACAACTTATCTTGTGGCTATTGCTGTCTGTGACTTTGACTACATATCAGGGAACACATCAAGTGGTACACCGGTAAATCTGTGCTTCATTGCATCGTATTGTTTTTGTTATGCTATCATTGTTATGTACAGATAGCATTCATGAAACATCTTGTTGTAACTTTTTTTTTCAAATAGTGCTCAGCACACACTTTTGCCTTGTTCATTTCAGGTGCGAGTTTTCGCCCGGCAGGATATGCTCCCTCATGCAAATTATGCGCTTTCAGCCACCATTCAAGTCCTGGAACTCTTTGAAAATCAGTTTGCAATAAGGTTTCCTCTTCCAAAGCTAGGTAGTTAAATAAGTCACAATTCTTGTTTTTCAGTTGTACTACTCAGTTCCTCCAATACCTGAGTGTTGTTACACACTACTTTTACACCAAGGTTGCCCTTAGTTCATGGCAATTACCTTGCTACAACAAAACGTAATGGAATTCATGATAGATGGAATGTTCAACACAACTCATGTGCACCATCTACTTTTTTGCCTGTACATTGAGTGTACAGCGTAACTGATCAGCTTTCTGTTTTAGACAGCATTGCCATTCCGGACCCCCAAGCAGCTGCTATGGAAAACTGGGGCCTGATCATGTACAGCGAATGCATGATGCTCTACAACCAAAATCTGACATCTGTCTCTGATCACTACAGCACAGTAGAAGTTATATCTCATGAACTGGCACATATGGTTTGTAGATTTATTTACATGTTTTCACTAAAAATGATTGTATGACATTTCATATTGTACTATGTATACAACCTATAAACATTTATGTGCATCTATAATTGGAATAGATGTAAAGGCATGCCATTAACGAGGTCCAGCATACAAATTTAACCTTGTAATATGGCAGCTGCCCCTAAAAATGTAGCATGATGTAAAAGACTGCTTTGTACTAAAAAGTTTACAGGGCATGCACAAGAAGCAAATTCTTTACAGTGTTAATAGCTTACACAGTTGAATCACTCACATTAGGCAATTTCATATGAGTGCATTCACAGAAATTAGCATGTTGGCAACATCTGCAACCTGATCAGCTTCTTTTTACCCCAATCCAGCATTCTTCACCCCATTCAGCAACCTTTTGATCTCATTCTTTCAAGCTAAGACTTTGTTGTTATTTCATGCAAGAAAAGTACTAGATTTCTTATTGACAAGTTGAATAATGATGTGGCATTATGTTCCCTTAATGACATTTATTGGAAGGTCCCCACTGACTGAAGCTGCATGCAGCATGCATTTCCTCTATGTTTTGGCAGTCTTCAATGAGCTGCTGCATCCCTACTCAGCAGCAGAAATTATATTCGTGGTGTTTCAGTCAGATGTAGCAAAAATTTCACAGCTGTGCAGATTCTTTTTTTTTCAAAATGTCACTGCTTCCACAAAACAGTGAGGAAGTGTATTTGCTACTTTACGTGAAAAATAGCCGCCTTTAATCATCAGCCCCCCCCCCCTGCAGTACATATCTATGCTACTACGTTGCATAGCAGACTATTGTTAAACAGAACCTTAAGGGAGCAAGAAAATTACAGAACCTCAAGGAGCCAAGAAAAAATGTTCTGTTTAACAGGAGTACAATTCACTGAGAGATAAACAGGAGTGTAGAATTCAAGTACAAAACTAAGCATATTAGAGGCAGTTTGATTTAAGCAGCAGTGTCATTTAAGACATTGCTGTTTATCGAGAGTCTACTGTATGTTGTGGAAATACTACATATAGAAACTTGCTTCAACTGAAAACAAAGTGCTATTTATGGGAATGTTGCCAGCTGAAGATGGAAGGCTTCAATTTTCGTTACTTTCAGAAGAATTGTTAAGAGTTCAATAACATCATCTTTATTTGCCTTTGACTTGGTATAAAGTGCACAAAATAATTTCACAGTGCAAATCTTTTACTATTCACTGAAAAAGCCACTATTAGGCAGTTGCCAATGCTATGGTGGTGATTGGAAAGGCACTTTTACAGTATTTACAGTCTTCAGTATTGATAACAATGGATGGTCATATCTGCTTACTATAGGATACTTTTGTGCACATTGTTTTTGTTTTAGCAGTGATAACTAACACACTTTTTTCTTTCTCTCACTACAATGTGTCATTGCTTCTTACAGTGGTTTGGAAACCTTGTTACAATGAAATGGTGGGATGACTTATGGTTGAATGAAGGATTCGCTACTTATAGCTCTCATAAAGGAATTGAACTTGTTGAGCCTACGTGGGACGCAGTGAGTAAAATAAGCATTTTTGACAATCAGTAAACTTAGAAAACATTTTGTATTCGATATACTATGTATAAATAGTTATGTATAGTGTGCAACACAGAATTTTAACAAGCTTATGTGGACACTGGCTCAGCTGCCAACAATTTTTTCCCATCTGAAAATACCTCGGGATATTTTTATGGTGGAACTGTACAGCTGGAATTAACAGTAATACTGGTCCCAGTTTGTTTTCCATAGATGTGTGTATGTATGTGTGTATGTGTAATCAATAAAAAATAGACATATTTATAGAGTAGATATAGTTATAAGAAGAAACTAACTATAAACCTAGCTAGTATAATAATTCATCAGCATTAGATTGCTTTCTTTCCCCCACTGTACAGCGTGAGAGCGATAGACACCTAATGCAAGATTTGTCCATGCAGCCCAGTATTTACTCAAATCAGCCCAAGTCAGGCACAAGCACTACATTCATAAATGACCTACTAAAAGCCATCCACCATGTGGCAGCTTGCAATGATGTATTGCAGCATGCATGCCTCCAAACAAAAAGACCAGGCTTCTGTATTGTTGTTGCTGCAAGTGTGACAGAGCAACAGTCGCAAAATATATTGAGCTACTTTTTGATTTACTGCTGCTTTGAAAAGTTCATATTGTATACTTAAGCTAGACAACTACAATGTTATTTCATGACACATGCACTGAAATCTTACCTGCATCAAATGCCACAGAAGTGTAAAATGGGAGATAAAAATGAGATAAGTGAGCACAGACATAAATATTTGATCGCACAAGACTGGGAAGAAGGCGAAATTTTTGTTTACTGTGGGATGTGTCTATCAAGACTCAAAGAAGTGTCAAGTCTACAGCCAATGTAGAGACATCATTAACTATTAGTTACAGTTTCACTACTGTCTAGTTATATGCAACTATAATGTGCTGTTCTACACTACATTAACCAAAAAAATTCTTTCTATATTTCAAACTTGTCACAATTTACGATAGGGTGAAATATTTCTATAAAGAAGACACAGATATATAGTAAAGTGGTACTGAAAACTTCATTGTAATGAAACTGTAGTTTATGTTGCACCCTGAGAAATTTAGAATACTAATATGACATGCAGTAAAAAGCAGCATTTCATAGGTAAGCTTTGTCCTCTCAGATAAATTCATTATTCGGCTGAGTTAAGAGGTCATTTTTATAGTGTACCAACTCTGAGAAGCATAGGTAAGGAAAGTGCAAATTTTGAATTAGTAAGCACATGTACATTAGTCTGTATTTTTATGCAGGAAACACAATTTTTGTTGAAGCTCATATCAGGAGTCCTTGAAAAAGATGCAGTTTTAAGTTCCCATCCCATTGTTATGCCAGTCACCCAGCCAAATGACATCACGGAGATATTTGATGTTATATCCTATAGCAAGGTATGTTTTACTCTTTTATGCAGCCAATTTGCATGTAGCAATTACATGCAGCATATAACCAACAACCAATTTTCGAGCATATTATTTTCAGGGGTCAGCAGTTATCAGAATGCTGGAATCCTTTATGGGAACAGGAGACTTCATACGAGGACTTCAGGTATCAATGCTGCATCATTGCTCTGATTAATACATGGCTTAGTTTGTATGACATTTGTAATATATGTCCGTATAATGATACATGTTTTTTATTTTGTTGCCCATTTGTAGAATTACTTAAAAAGCCGGAAGCGCAGCAGTGCTGTAACACTAGATCTGTGGAAATCACTGGAAAGTGTCTCATCAAAAGTGAGTACTACCGACTTATCAAAACAAATAAAAAGTTACTATTTTTACTCCACAGAAACTTATTTCTTCTTAATTTGCCATACTTTGTTCCAAATATACATGCTTTTCTCAACAAATGGCTTTTTGTTTAAGTGGATTTTTCACTGCTCTGAATGATAAAAGGTGCATTCCATGTACGAAAAAAAAACTGATATTTTTTCAGCATCAACACATTACTACAATCATGAACACTTGGACAAGACAGATGGGCTACCCGTGTGTGTCAGTTAGACGACTGCATAGCAACTCTAGCCAGTATGAATTTGTCCAGCAAAGGTTTCTGCTGAACCCTGATGATGCAGCAAATCTCACCAATGATTCGCCATTCAGGTGTGTATGTCCCCAACTTCAGTTATAGCTTCAAAAGGCATCTCTAAAACTGTCTCCTGAAGGTTTTGTCAGCAAGGATGTCATATGCAGGAGTTTGTACAAAGCTAAACATGTACAGTCTGCTGTGCACCGATTTTTGCCATGTATAAAATTTAAACAGTATTGTACTTAAAAAACATAACGCAGTGAAGAGGTTTTCCACACTTAGAATGCTCTTGGATGCAATATTATGATTTATAATTCACAATGTAACATCAGCCATAGGCTTTGATATAACATTATCGTTAACACACTGCGAAATCGTTTCCATGATGTCTTGTTGCATGTGGCCACGTGCACATATACAAAACCTTGCTCTGGTGCGCATTGTCCCAGACAACGCATCTACAACGTCAGGACATCCTCAGTATGCCTCCATGAGGACAATATGATACCCTCGAAATATCCTATTCTGGTACTAGAATGGCACCGATCCAGTCCTCTTGTCCGTATGCATAACAACCTCAGCTCATCCTGAAAATGGCTTTAGGACTTTTTCAGTATCTTTTCAGAACAACGCTTGCGTGGCTGGTTCAGTGCTATTGGCTGTGATACTACTTAGAATTCACTTCTTTTCATGGTATTTACATATATCAAGAGGAAGACACCTCTGTGAGGTCTCGTGTATGTATACGGTATCATTCAACAGAGAGGCGACCGTCCTGGACTGTTACAGTGAAACAAAGCTTGTTGACTGAAAATCATTTATTGAACAGTAATTGGTCACAACTGACAGCTTTGTCATTCAAGTACATGTATAGGATGAAAAAAAAAAAGGAAAGCAATATTAAGGCAGTCCACATAACTCAATCACCCATATTTGTAATGGTCTTCGAAGTGTTGACACATTGTCCTCATCACCACCTGTATCCTGCCCACTGCACTCATTAGTGTTAGATGCTCTGCTCTGACAGCCTACCAGTAAACTCGACACGGGTCTTGAGTTAACTTTTCCAAGGTAGGGCCATGTGTCAGATGCAGAATTCGATTCCTTCATGTTGGGAGCAGGCTGCTTGGAAGCACAATTCATCGCGATGCTTGTGTTCCAGGCTGCTTCAAAACACAGCTCGCCACAGTCCGCTGGTGTCGATACATTATCAGTCAGAACGTTAAGCAACTCGGTGCACCCATCAACACGGCAGTTGAAGTCCTGTCGTCGTCTATGATTTACTCTCTCACTCATATCTCACTTTAGACTAGCACACAAACAAGAAAGAACACGAACCTTCACTAGTATGCACTGTACCTTCACCGAAAAATACCATTTTGACAGTCAGTTGCCTTGAAATGGCTTGACTAGATGACTATCCAGAACGGCACCGCATGGCCAATAGCAAGGTTAAAATAATATTTAAACTTCCTTGATCAATGGTTACCACCGGCTAGTTTGTTATGATGCACTACAGCGACATGTATTAACTAAATAATATAAGGCTGTCACAATCAAGAACTCACTCTTTCCGAACATTTCACTATACCAGTTTTTATACCTAAACTAATTAATTGTGCATGTTTCATATAGAAGAAATGTGTAATTTGAAAGTTTTCTACCGAAAGAGAAACAATGAGGTGAAAATATGCAATAACTGTATTGTTATGAAACGAACGTCCGGAGAACATTTTCAATTATGATATGCATCTACTTGCTGTACAAAGATCTCGAGGAATTATATCAAAAAGCTCAGTGCAATGCCATTATCATCCCTAAAAGGTCCTTGGCAGGATCTTTTCCGGACCCATTGTTCACCTCAAAAAGCACTCGAAAAAAACGTTTGACCCGGCATTATTGAATTTCTTTTGTCATTTTCAAAAGGTGCTTGAAAGGACTTTTTCAGTATAAAATGTTGTCCTCAGAAAGCACTTGGAAAGACGTGTCCGGGTAAAACCAGCTCGTGTCATCCTCAATAAGTACCAAGGTCAATGAGAACTGTGTGAGGACGATTTTACCATTGGAGGACGGCCTAACATCGAGTGTTGTCTGGGGTAGTGTTAGGTCGCCCACTGTGCTATATATATCTATATATATATATATATATATATATATATATATATATATATATATATATATATATATATATATATATATATAATATGCTCTACCTGTACTACCCTTTTAGTGTGGTAGCCAAGTAGGTAAGGTGTCAGGTTGCGTAGCCCAACGATGCAGGTTCTATACCTAGCAACAGTGCAAGGAATCTTCTGTAATTAGATTCATGTGGGCGTTAAAGAACCCCAGGTAGTCAAATTTCATCTGACACCTACTAATGCATGCCTCATAATCACATTTTGTTCTAACTCATAAAACCCCCAAAATAATTATCTGTTCTGCCTACACATATGTGGCCATGACTGACTCTCTTCACTGCAGTTATGCCATCAAACAGCAAACGGTGGTCATATGTATTCTCATTGCAAAAAACATGCGTCTTATAGTGCGCATACCTTTAGCCCAAGTACTCCTGCCTAGGAACTCGCAGTTTGCTGTGCCATGAAACCTGGGTGTAGATTAAGATGCATCTATTCACTGCTATCAACCCTCATGCATAAAATGCCTTATTGATGCTCTGAATCCACTAGTAAACTTTATCATTTGGACTTGTTAACTAGAGTAGGAACCTCCGTCCTACACTACTGCTACATGCAACCACCGCAACACTTTCCCACATAGTAACTTTTAGCCTAGCATCACCACAAGAGTGCATGTCGATTAGCTTTGAAAGAATTGATGTTGAAAAATCCATCCATTCTGCCAGTGCCTTCATAGCTGCATAAAGGAGTAAATCAAATAAAAAAAAGATTTTTTTATTTGATTATTAAAGATAATACAGACTCTGAGGAGTACAACAGTGCCTTGGCAAGTGCTTAGAAGTACTCGAAGCCACTTAAAAATGGTGCCAAAAACCGAGGTTTTTGTTGCGAGGGTTTGTTGACATGTTGTTTTCTGTAATTGTTTCTGCATGCATTTTTTACTACGAGTATAGCTAGATTGGGTGAATAGCATATTCATTCCCTGCCCTTTTGTGAGCTTTGATTGCAAATTGTCCCACTAGCAATGCTTTTGCGGTGTAGCCATCACTTTATCTTGTGGGCACTTTCTATGCATAAGTTTAAAACTAAAAGTGAGTTTTTTTGTTGTTTTTTTTCGCAATGAGTTATCTGAAAGTTATCCAAACTTGATGTAAGTTCACTAGAAAACTATGTGACCACTTGTGCTGAAGTTTTCTGAGGTATATTGAAATCCCTTTCAAACAGTCTGAACTTAAAATTTTCAGAATTGTCAAAGCTACATTCAAGAAAAAGAAAAAATAATTGGGAAGTCTCTCTTATAGCACATGACATGTAATGACAATTTTTTTGTGCGTGAAATAAATGTAGGAGTCCATTTTTTCAACTAGAGATCAATGGCACTACTATGCACTATTAGCATGCAAAACTACAAGGTCATACTGTTTTGTGTTTCTAAGAAAAGGCACTTTTCATTTGATGCCCCTCCCTGAAATGTGATGCTCAAATTAAAAAAAAAACTGCCAGAAAAGCTATGGGCACAAAATTACACAAAGGAAAGGCTGAAAGCTTTCTTATAGAACATGCAAAGCTGAAATAAAATATGGAGCAGTTCCTGAGACATTAAGCTTAAAACAAGACAACCCATTTACTGTACCATAGGCCTGTGAATCAAACATACCATGCCTGTGGGTTTATGAGCACTATTAACTGCAGAAGAAAACCAGCAAATTACATTACCTGTGAGATTTAGGCTGCTAATTTTTAAGGTTTTCAGTGTTTGGGCTTTCATTCCTAAGCAGACACAATGCCTCTGTTCTAGCTGATGTCCTGACGAATAATTAGGGCTGTCACTATCTGTGCTGTGTGTTGCTTTGTCCTTATGTATACATTCAAAATTGGTTGCTCCTGATTCATACAACTGGCCCTCTGGAGAGTAAGTAATTTTACCATGCAAGTGATTACCCACTCTATCTTCTGGTAGCTAATCTTTACTCCTTCTAAAAAAAGAAAGGTTATTGAGCTGTGCACATGTGGTATTTGAGTGAAGAACAATCATGAGCATTGTTCCCCGAGCCTTCATTTGGCTATACAACTTGGGTCATTTGATTGGATGCATGACAAGTGAAATTCTTTGTGCAGTATCATTCACTCATGTCTATGTGTTTTTTATCCCCACATCACTCAGGCTGCAGAATTGTGCAACTTCACAGCTTTTGTTTCTGTGGCCTCTATGAAAGTGCTGCTCGTGCATGAACTGTTGACAGTAGTTCTTGGTCACTAGAAGCATCACGTGCTCAAGTGACAGTCTTCCTGTCGTTAAAAAGTTGCCCAGGACTGCATAACTATATTACATTGTGAAATCAGCCATCATGAGCTTTGCCAAGCTTCTAGAGATGCATGCTATACTATATCATCTTGAAGGGTTGTCTTTATCTCAGAGCTACCATATTCAATGTAAAATACACATATCTAGTCTTAAAGAGTGCTATAGAAGAGTGAATCAAAATGATGGGTGTTAAAATAAAGAAGTCATGAAGTTTCTAGTATATATAGTATATTGCAATCTGAAAATTAAGGTGTGTTTGTTAACCAATATTTTTGTGAACTATTCACTTGGAAATCCCTACTTGTTTACAAAAATTGCCTGACAAAGTTCATGTCGCACCTTTGTGTGTGTTGCGTGTGTATAGCTGAAATTACATTTTCATACAAGTCATTCACACTTTTACTGTGATAATATATATTATGTTGATGAAATTTCTATCGTGATTCTGAAGAAAGGGAGTCTTACTTTAATATAAATATGTGTTCATGAGCATAAAAGAGTTTATACGCTGTTGTCCTCACGTACGTGGCCTGTGTTTTGTGGTGCCTGCCTACAGGACAATTATCAACCGACAGCAAAAGCAAACACATTGGCTTTTGGCGTCATCTATTGGCAAACAAAATGAGTTATGGCCGCTGGCCAAGCACTGCAAAATACTGTAGGCAGCCATTGTAGAAAGCAGGTTATGCGATCGTTTGTTCTTTTTCATAAAGAACGATAGTGTACATATGCTGGCATTGCATTGTTGTGTGCAACTGCTATAAAATTTTGCTCTTAATTTCTGTTACATATTTAGGTATACATGGGAAATTCCTTTGAGCTATAAGACTTCTGAAGGAAATGAAGGACTTCACTGGCTGAGGACTAAGAAACCAGGCGAGTGTATTTCTTTCTTCTTGCCCTCTTTTTAAATCCTGTAGTACAATTGACACATTGTTTCTTAGACCACATAAAATTTAATGCATGTTTAGCTACTCTGTTGATCGAATAAAAAACTACCTACCAACTTTCTCACTTCCTCTATTTACAGTAATGTCATTGCTCTTTTTCACATAGTCCGTCTTGCTGAGAATTTTCACATTTTGTAATACCCAAAGTATCTTTTGGCATGCAACTACTATTATGTGCATTACGAGCATTTAATGTACTTCTATGTGTAATATGTTTAATAATCTTCCGCGAACAGTGTTTCTCAAATTCGCCTCTGTCAGAGATCAGCATTACTAATCATGGTTTGTTCCTCTCCAAGCTTCAATTTAAATTTTGATTATGCTGTACATTAGAGGTTAGAAAAAGTTGTCCAGGGTCTGTTCTTCTGCAAGGGTACTTATATGTATATGATTAAGCAATAGGCAAGGTAAAAGAAAATGAACCATAATGCGGCCATGGCACAAGAAGGAGAGCCACTCTGCTCACACTAGGGGCTCTCTCTCGCACCGGAGTCTTGGTCAGTGCCCACAAGTATTACTCCTCCCCATTCTTCACCTATATCTGCGCCAAAAGCCCCTGTGACATTTATATAGCCACTCTCACCTCTATTTTAAGAAATCGTAATCTTGACGGTGCATTTTAAAAAGTATTTTTGTGCACTCTGCATTTTGCCAAAATCTGGAACTACTTGCACTGTTTCTGGCTGTTCATGTGGGGCAAGTGCTACTCTTGTGACATCATCTGTGTTGGCAAATGAAGAGACTTTCAAATAGGAATTGGGCGTGAGATTTTTTTTTTCTTTAGGTACTCTTACTACGTACTTAGCCTTACTAATTTCTTGACATGATTATCACTGCATTATCCTATGCTCCTTGTTTGTCAGTTTTCAATGCCCAGGAACAGTGAACAGCCCTTCAAGGTGAAGAATGGAAAGGCTTTGGGCACAAAAATGTTTGACGTGCCTCCACGCAAACATAAGTGATTTCCTCTTTATGTTTACAGTCAGGCAATGACCAACATGACGCAATTGAAAGCACAAACTTAGTATGTTTAGCTAGTGCACCCAATAATAAAAATTACACCCCAACTTCTTCTACCTTTACAGCTCTTTTTACTTTTATAGGCTTACAACTCTTTCTACCTTTACAGAAATCATTGGTCTACCCATCACTAAAGACAGCTCATGGGTAAAGTTTAACAGTGAATTCAAGGGATACTATCTCGTGAAATATGATGACAATGAACTAAAAATGTTCTCTCGGCTTCTACTGGAAAATCAAACAGTGAGTTCCTTGTGTTATTCTTCTTGTTTCAGGAAAGTGAGAATCGTTTAATGCAATGCTAAATGAGAAATAATAAATACATAATTATTAGTATGTTATTCACATATTAATACATTTGCCCTTTAAGATTTCTGCCTGAAAAGAAATTAAAAACATGTGAACTTTGCCATAAATTTATGTGCACTTTTTTTATAAAGTAAATATTTTAGCCATGTCTGGCAAAGCCTGGTGAGTTGTTTATTCATGATGAAGAATCTAACTGTGTTGGAAATTAAATTAAATCTTAGCCTAGAAATATTTTAGGGTTTTCCATATAAAAAAAAGTATTGAAAAAAAATGGGACCGCATCATGAAATTCATCACATTAGGAGTGCTGCATTTTGAGCATGCAATTTTATTAAGACTGATTGGCTTCGACAACAAATATGCATTAATTACCCATTAAATAAAGGCTTGACAGAAGGCATCTTTTGTATCTCTTTATTGCTGAGAAAAGTGAATAGGAATAAACTGAAGTGAACTCTAATAAAAAGACAGAGAGGGTCTTTCAAGAGATATTATAAATGAGTGAAAAACACTTCTAAAGTGGGAGATTCTTGGCAAAGATAAATACAGCTTGAGAAATTTTGGATAGCAAATTGTCTCTGAGTTCTACATAATTGGCTGTTTTATAGTAATTGTATATTTAAATTGTAGTTAGCACCTGTCTTAGGTTATGTGTTTCGTTGACTGCACCATAGTATAAATAAATAAGAAGCTTTGTGAACAAAATCACACAAAGTTTTTTTTAGTGGATCGAAGAAAAAGCATCAGTACATATTATTTAAATTACTAGAAAATGCAAACATAAGTATTACCATTTCAAGATATTATTAAGCATTTATTGGTTCTTTTCATTATATTAAACCAAGAGTTAGAAACCAATCGTGTAAACAATGCATACTTACATACAATGTGTGTTTATTCCAAACATGTAAGAAGTGAAAGTTCTATTAACAGATACTGCATATTGCCAGCATTGCACTGAATAACTTTCTTAGCTATGTCCAAAGTTGAAGTGATGGCATGCCAAAATTTGCACAATGATTTTCACAGCAGTTCATCTTCATCATCCTTTCGATACTTCGTTAATTCTTTTACTTTATGAGAATGAACCAAAGTAGCTTAGATATTCACACTATTTTTAATTTTTTTCTTTAATAAAGCCTCACTAAGAAATTACTTTGAATATTACATGTGTGCAATTGTTACCACCTTTTTGTCTTGGGTTCCCTAAGCACAAAGGTCTTCAGTTCTTATTTTTTCTAAATTTTGTGCTAGCGCTTGTATAGCTTTCCAGTCTTGGTTCTTGGAGGCACAAGAAATTTGGTAAGCTTTAGCCAGTTTTATTATACAATGAAAATTATCTGCTTATTTTATGAGCTTACGAGCTTAATACATTTAAAGTTGTACCTTGCATTGTAAACATGTTAAGAGTGTACCCTGTCATACAGTGATCCCACAGCAAGAAAATTTTAAGGGTCTCAGGTGTGGCATAGCTGCACACTACTGCCGCTGCGTGGTCTGGCCAGAATGTGCGCAAAGGGCTGTCATCTCATAAGTTGAAACACTTACCTCTCAGTATGCCTTGCACATCAATGCCACTGGTGCATACAAATTAGAAATGTTTAAGCAGGAGTCTTAGCTTGCATTATGAAACGGTAACCATGCAAGCATTTCCTGATTAGTAGTGTCATTGTGAAGTTGTTGACTTGCGTCTTTGTTTACCCTCGCAGCAATTGTCTGCTTCCGACCGTGCGGCGCTACTTCTGGAAACATTTTTACTGGCACGAGCTGGCATGACCCCTTATTCTTCTGCAATGGACCTCACCAAGTACCTTCGGCGTGAACGCCATTTTATACCTCTTAAGGTGGCATCCAGAGTCTTCCAGCACATCGCTATGTGTCTAAGAGGGCACCCAGAGAAGACCCTTTTTCTGGTGAGTGCCATACACCAAATCATTCATTGAACTTCACAAGAGCAGATGCAGGCAAGTGGTTTTTGTTTCAATGATTTTTAATTAAATTTTTTTTAGTGCACTTTCAAAGCCTTTGGAAGCCTCATATAATTGCAGTCTAACAGTTTTTTGTTTCCAGAAGTCATCACAATGTTTCATAGAAGACAGGTTGCCTCTTGTAATGCTCCAACTATACCAGGGGTTTCTACAAAGACATTACATAGTTTTAGGCTTATGTGAATATTCGAATGCTTAGACTATTTGAGCGAATAATACAGTATTCTAGTTGCTTTGAAACAAATATAATTATTCAAAATATTGAATTATTCGATACAAACTAATAGGTGCATATTAATCCACATGTAACATTTTATAAAGGTAGTTTCACTGCAGTAAAGGAGTGTTAAACCGTGAAAGCATTTTTTTTAAATATATTAATTTGCTCGTATTTATTTGTAAAAGTGGTTTCACTGCAGGGGAGTAATGCTAAACCATGAAAACACACAGTCAAGAGAACTCTGCACTTCAGCGAAGTCCCACTTCAAAATTAAATGAAGATATTACCCTCACATCGATTCTTTTTTCTGACTTAATATGCTCAAGGTATAGCAAAATTCAAAACATAACCAATTTTACAGGCTATCACTTTAATTGTACTGAAAGTCAAATCTTGATACTCTTCAAAGTTGTTTCCACTTCCTTTGATGAAAAAAAAAAGCATTTGCACAGGGCTTGTTTCAATTTTAAAAAAATATATTGTGCAGGTTAGTGTGGTCATGACAAACATGCCCCTTATTCTCTATATTATGATTATATATATATATATATATACTATTTGAATTCGATTCAAAATTATGCACCCAAAATCATCATGCACTTTGAAGTAGCTTCAAATCTAAAATTCTCTAATCACAGAAGCCTACATAATATATTTAAATATTGTCATTTTGGACTTCAGTGCGAGTTGCACCTGGGAAATGACTGGAGGTATCATACAGGGACAGGTATTACATAGGAATTGCAAGTTTTTAACATTAATACATATTTGACTAAATCTTAAACTTAAATGTTCAGCAGCCTTATTATAACTGAGCAATTGAAGCAAACTCTTTGTAAAAGCCATATCAGCTCTTAGATTTAAAAAAAGTTATAATTATGCATGGAACTACGGCACAACGAATAGCATGTGTGACTTCACCTCTCAAGGTGATGTTGCTATCAGACCACTGAGTAACAGGTAGCCAGTCACGTAGGAAATAAAATTGTACAAGAGGGAGCATCAGAAGCATCTTCTAGCCTTGGCAAGCCAACCTCCTCTGACACCACACTTGCTGATTTCCAGAACCCACTGCATGGTGCCTCTTATATACTACATTTTTCATTCGTCAGGTGCAACACAGTGGAGGCTAGTGGAACATTTTGCAGTAAATGCATTTGCACCAAAAATTTGTTCAGTTGGTTCACCAACTGTATCATAATTGATTTATTTTGTGTAGAACTGAGTAATAAGTAATGATACTTTGTGCCTTAGAAACAAACAAACCTGTCGTTATGCACTTTGTTAATACCACATTGTTAGAGATCCTTTAGCCCCTTCTTGTTTTGATTTTTTGGTTGTTAATTTGCAGCCCGTCACTACGCCTCATCTTGCTAGGTTCGTACGAGCATTTTCAATGACAAAAGCTAAGCACAAGACACATGGACTTACGCATTTTGCTGGCCGAACTTCCTGCATACATTTCACAGCGTTTCATCTAATGTGTAAAATGAAGTATAAGATTAAGCCCCCACAGCATCCACAGCAGACGGATCCAAACTCAGCTGGCCAGTAGTAGTGCTTGCCTATCTTGTGACTAGGGCATATTTCTCGGTTAATTTATTTGTGACTAGGTTTCAAAATTGTCACATCACGCTTCCTTTTAGTGTTTTCTGTCCCCCGCTGATACTGGCGAGCCCAGCAATTGATGAACTCAGCAGAAATGTTGCTACAAAATGTGTGACCACATGCATGTGTTAGTGCCCAGTTTTTGCATGCCCTGTTTAATCTTGTCACAGTTCTGTGGGAAATCACATTTTTCCTTATCTAAAATAAAATAAGGCTTTTATAAAAGTGTCACATCAATTTTCTGGTTACAATAAAGCTGCTGGACTGTCGCCCTAAACTCAATTAACTAATTACTTTATATAATCTACACCTGTGCACACTTATATTTAAATACACATTTGAGAACACTAAGTAGTCAAGGTTATTCTGGAGATCCCCACTACAGCATTTTTCATAATCATATTGTTTTGACACTATAAATTACAAAAATTTTTATGTTGTACATTCTAAACTTATGTTATCTCAGCTCTTGCTAGTTCATTAAAAAAAGTGTTGCTCTCTTTATTTCAGAAAAATAAGCTGATTATGTGCACCAAACTCAAAACAAAAAAAAAAAGATGAATAAGAATTTTTTTCCTCCGTATTTGCATATGCATACATGCAGGGTGCCCAACTAAATCTAGCCAGAGCTTGGAAATATGCAAATGCTCTTTATGATGATGTAATCAAATGCATATTGCTGACTACTATACTTAGCAGGCCACACTATTTTTATGGTCTGCTTAGTTGCTTAATTAGGAAAGATTAATTAACTTACTTATAGGGCAAGGAAACTGAGCGAGGAATACCAATGAGAATTGTAAATATCGGTTTGCCAAATATATGATGAGATGGTTTTTAACTTCCTATTTATTGAGTATTAGTGTTTTTCTGTGTACTACAGATGCCTGCAGAGTGCAAAAAATACCATGTGACATGCCCACCTGTGCACCTATGCATGCTGTGATTGCAGTGCTCCCTATCATTCTGCATTCAAACTGTGCGCTTCCGCTTGTGCTGCCTTACTATGCTAATGTAGTGAGGCGCACTAATGCCACACGTGGAGCATCAGTGTCCCCCTTACACTAATGCCCCACACTGGTGCTGTGGGTACTCTAAATAAATAAATAAGCAACATGTGCATCATCGCACAGCCATCATCATCACTACTGCCTGTCACTTTTTAAGCAGCAGCACATTCAAGGCTATCATTGTGTGTACGTTGAACACTAGGGAGCACTGCACTCACATCACTGACAGGCACGCAAGCAAACATGTCACATGTTTCTTTTTAATGTCACAAGCATGTGTAGTAAAAAAAAAAAACTCTAACATATCTAATAGATATGTACGGGTTTAGACACTGCCTAATCGGACATTTTGCAAACTGATCTATGGCACTCTCACTAGAATTTTTTGCCCAGCTTTGTTGCTTTAGTAGTTAGTTAATTTTTCTTGTCTCATTAAGCAATTAAGCAGAACACAAAAAATAGTGTGACTTATTCTGTGTGATAGTCAGCATTCGGTCGTGCTATCATAGAGTGCATCGACATATTTTAAATATTGTTGCTGAAATCAGCTGGGGCGCCCTGTATATGAAGCATACATGCCTAAAGGAACCCAGAAACGGTTTTTTGAAATTTTGTCAGCATTTAGAGTACATCATTATCAGATCATTCACATCTTGCACCATGGTAGCTATGAGCAATTATACATGATGCTCTTTCTCAGAACCGTCTTTCTTCCTCAACCTAGCAACTCACTACCAATTGTATTTTATTTTTGTCTACATTGATAATCTGCAAATGTCAGTTATGTAAACAAACAAAGAGTATTTGCTAACAATCACTGATAAGAGCAAACTGAAGCACTGTGGTTGTGTCTTCAAGGGAGAAACCACAGTAGACTCATGGATCCTCGCGTTGATCCGATGGCGAGAACCTGACATTGACTGTATCGAATAGCTGAAGCGATTACGCTCGCCAGTCGCCTTACACGTTGTTGCAGCTTTGCAGGTCCCCAATCACAAGATTTGCAGCACACCATGCTGTTAGAGCAATTTATTCCATCTGAGAAAAGACACTCAATAGAAATGGTGTTTGTAGCTCCTGTCAAAGCGAAACACATTGTAATACAGGCAGATGATGTTCACTGTCAACCAGAAGTTCAGTGACATGCAATCTAGCTAGTGCTATGTATAAATTAAGAATTCTAGGTACGTGAAATGGAAGCAAAAAATTTGAAACTCGTTTTGTTGAGTTGCTGTAATATAAAGCAATTCGCATGTTTTAAGTAAACAAATCGCACATTTGACACAGACAGATTAAATTGATCCTTAAATGATTTTTAGGGCTTGCATTACTGACTCAATGCATTTGTACAAAATTATGGAAACCATTTCAGGGTCGCTCTAATGTCACTAGGGTGTAAGGCTGATATGTCTGACAGCCTGTCTCCATGGTTACCAAGTGTCATTGCCATCAAACTTGTAAGCATTATCATATATAATGGTGAACATATTCGACAGAGATGTGTCTAGCTGGTTGAAAATGCAAACGAATAAAATAAACCTTCAGCCACTTTCAGATACGTCCAAGGTTTTTAATATTAACATTAAAAACTATAAACTGACATGACGTTTTGGTATCGATTCGGTCTTTCTTTAGGGGTGGCAGTCACCTCTGAAGAAGGGCCCGAATCAGTCCCGAAACATTGGGTCAGTTCATAGTTTGTGATGTTAACATTAGAAATTTCGGACTAAAAGTGACTGGAAGTTTATTCCTATCAATTACCAAACTTGTTAAAAGTTTTATTACTTATCAACATCAGTGTTATTTCAGTAAATGCCATTGCATGAATATAAATAGCTGCACGAACACTCAAGAGAGGGTGCTAGTAGCATACAATGAAATAAAGGTATTGCCCTTGTCACTGGCCGCATTCCCATTTACCCCAAAGTACAATCCTTTAAAAAGTAAAGGGCTGGTTGCTCTTATGATGTTGCTGGAGGGAGCTTACTTCCAACAGGACAGTCATGGCACGACCTGCCAGACAATGCTGTGATAATTGGCACACTAAGCACTCGGTGAAGTGTAATCATGGGCAACTGCACAAGAGATGTCATAGGAGATGTTATCAATGAGCTGAGCATGCATTGTCCTTGTGGACAAAAATATAGCCTGGCTGTGGCATGACTCAGCAAGGCAAGCTCCTTCAGTTTTATTAACACTGCTTTGTGGGGCAATATAGATGAAGTACGACTAGCCATGCTGTCTGCTATGTCATTGCACCAACACTGCATTATTGTCATACAACAACCCTCCATACTTGAAAAAAAGAAGCGTAAATTTAAGGGCTGATTTTTTTTTAATACACAATATTAATGAGAACTAACAGTCAATGAAGCTAAAAAAGTGTAAGGGATATTATTAGAAGTAATTGTAATGTAAATATGAAGAAAACAAAGTGGATGAAAAGATAACTTGCCACCGACAGGGACCGAACTTGTGACTTTCGGGTTATGTGTCCGATGCTCTACCATTGAGCTGCGGTGGTAGGGCATCATTATCTTTTTGTCCACTTTACTTTCTCCCTATTTGCATTCCAAGTACTTCTTGTAACATCCACTATGTACTTTCCTTGGCATAATTGTTTGTTAGTTCTCTTCCAGAAAAAAAGGGACAATGAAACATTGTCTTCTATAAAAACTACCAAGCCTGCATGGAATGTGCAGCACTGTCACAGCGAAAGCTTGAAGAGTGGCCTTTTAGAGCATTTTTTTTTTTTTTCACTTTTTGGGTAGCTACTGCAAGCACACTTAGAGGGTACCCACTATGCCACTAATTATTGTGTAGTAGGCAGGCTTCACTACACGGTCTTTTGTCATATACTTCAGAGAAGAGTGGTACCTGGTGCACACTTGCAAGAAATTTTGTGGAACTTTTTTTCATGCTAATCCTGCACAATCCCCCAAAGTGGGTATGAGCCACAGTTAATAAGTAAACGACATCACACTTTTGTAACGGATTGGAGAATTCAATGACCCACTTGTGGCACAATTAACAATGTGTGACACCTGGTTGTTCTTTTGCTGTTCTAAAACTCTTTATTACTCATACTAACGCAATTCCTTTCCCGACATCAAGCTTACCTAAGACCAGTTTGTAACAAAATTCTAAGCATTGGTGTGACTCAATGGTAGAGTACTGGGTTGGCACGCAGGGGACCCGAGTTCGAATCTGATTGTGTCCTTGGTGTTTTTTATTTAACAAGTTTTTTTTTTTTATTTCATATCATAGTAGTTACGGCCACCGGAGGAGGCGGCGGACAACTACGACGCCGCACACGACTCTTGTTGTGATCTTGTAACAGCTTTTGCTGTAAAATAAATTACTTGTGTGTGGCAGTAGCGATGATCCTTTTGTCTCCACTAATAAAACTCAACCTATGTGCATTTGTTTGTGCACACTTGTTTGTGAATTGCAGCACAAATTTAGAGCAGAGTCATAAACCATCAACAATGCCTATGTGCCATACACATAACTGTCGTACTTATGTGATATGAGCACATTGAAATGCAACTGTGTTCTGCTTACATTCCTAACAGGAGTATGTGAGATACATAATGGAAGAAGCTTTTGAAGAACTCATGTGGAGGGACAAAGGTGATCACTTGACAAAGTAAGTTCAAGGAACTTGGTCATCTTTTCAGTTTCTTTTGTACATATTGTTACTTTTGTTGTAGCTATTTTAGTTCTGTTTACAGTTCTTTAGTGTTAAGTTTTAGAAAATTACCATTTCCCACAAGTAATATCTGATACTCGATGCAATAACATTCTGTAACATGGTTGTAGGGATGAAATGGTTTGATGATAGAAAACTAAGTGACTAGATGGCTTAGTTGAATTTTGCTGAATAATTGATTTTTTTTCTCTCTCTTGCAATTCATAGACGTGCACGTGAAGTGGTTTTACACTTATCCTGCTTCAGTGGGGAAAAGGTTTGCCTGAGACATGCTGGAGAGCTGTTGGATGCCTGGTTTGCAGGTGCTATGTATGTACAAGTGCCACATATACTTTATATTAACAACTAGTCGACAAAGAACCTACAAGATAAATACACATTTGCAAAAAACAGCCAAGCATGGTCACTAGGCTCATAACCCATGTTTATTCGTAAATGGGTATCAACAGACGACAGTAGCATATCTACATTAATGCATCTCTGAGGAGTGTTGCTGAGTGAATGTTGACTAGAGGTTCTGTGTTCAACCTAGTCACACCGAAGTAGTCTGCCTAAGTTAGACATATTGTATTAATTCAGGTTGATCCTAAATAAGTTTGGACATTTTAAACAAACAAAGGCAGTGTGTAGAGAATTTATTTTGAACACGTTTCTGGCGCACACTGCCATGCTTCATGCTGTGGGAAGACCACAAAATAACAAATGAGTGTCCACTTTGCTCGAACACTTCTTAACACGTCAATGTAATGTCAGCTGCACTTTTATGACATTCAAAATTGTTCTAAATGTATATCTTTGCTGTGGTCAAGAGTGGCCAAAACGGAGATGTCTCTGGAGCAAAATTTCGGCACTTTGACTTGCCTTTGTGATATCACTACTTATCGTTGAAGTCTCTATCTTCCTGTGAAGTTTTTTTTTTTATTTTGGTATATTTCTGCTAGCTCTTTTGTTTGTGCATAGTATACAAAGTGGTAAGTAAGCTTCAGCTCCATTTTCATGGCATCAAGATTCTCCACATTCATCTTTTGGGTGAATAAGTTAGGGGTGTGCGAATACATACTCGAAACTTCAAATATTTTTTAATAGTGTTTGCTATTTGTTTCGATTACCACTGGACTTTTTTACTATTTGAACTATTCAAACTTCACAAGGACAAATGTAGTCAATGTTCACAAAAAGTGATATTTTCCAATTTTTATTATTCTTCACCTCATTATATTCTCATATTGCAGCAAAGCTGCCTTTTAAGCTCCGCTATGGTTGCGAATGCATTGACTCGGGAAAACGCTGGTTCTAACATGGAGATGACAGAGGTGGCAGATGTGTCCAAATTACAGGTCTCAATGCTCTTGTGGACCTGAAGTTTGGACTGTAGGTAAAAAAAATTGGATTTCAAAAATTTTTAGCATTCAAAATATCAAATGTTCATGTATGTTGGCATTGATGAGGCATATTTGCAACTCTTAACTTGAAGGGAGCACTACCTTGTCTGCAAAATCAATTCCACAGAAGTTGAAAGAGGAGGAGAGGCTGAGGAAATAGCATCTTTGTCTTTCACATCTGAAGTGCTGTCGGCAACTCTTGGGTTGCACAAAATTATGTACTAATAAAATTAAACCTCTGCATTGCCTCATTCTTGATAACACAACTATAAAATACCATCCCACTAGCGAAAATAAACACTTTCATGTTGCTATATCTAATAAGAATACGCTTAGCAATCCTCTCCAACATTTTTTTCCTGCAATTTCACTTTGAACTATGGTTTTTGAAAAATATTTTAGAAATATTCAATTTCATCCATGCTCACACTTCAATATTGAAATTCGCTTTGCACTAAAAATTTTCCTGTTTGCACAGCTCTAGAATAAATAAATCTACACTTTTTTACACCAGCAGTAGGGGCTGTTTTTGACAGAAAACTGAGGCACAGTGTTGTGTGTTCTGGCAAGTAGTATCTGCAAAACACTTGTGAGAATGCTCACTCCTCCTGGCATAGTAAATCTACTATGCCAAAAAGAGTGTGCATGCTCACCAGTGTCCTTCAGGTAGAGAATAAATAGGGCCACAGTACAGAAGGTGCATGTGATTAGTATCAAAGCCTTTCTAGGCAAATTAAATGTGGCGGAATATTTTAGACTCAATGCCTTAAAATCAGTGGCTATGAGATGTGCCTTTTCTGAAAAATGATTCTTTACGGGGCACCATTTGGGAGCACTTAACACTAGAAGTGGCAAGGATGTGTGGCTTGTGATAAAACAGTAAACTGTGTAGAAAAAGGGTGTACTACAGGGAATGTATACTGCAACAGTGAGTGTACTGGTGAGCTTTGTTGCTTGAAAATGTTGGAACATAAAAACCATCTTTTCTGTAGCTGTTGAAAAGTATTCATTTGATAAGTATTCAAAATCATTTGTACTGAAAAGATTTTTATAGGATGAGGGAACTGAACCCTTATAAATGAACAGTATGAGCTATTGAATACTTAAATTCCTTTGTATATGTGAGGGGTGAAATGTAATGAGCTTCAAATCTCAATTCAGGTGCCACTAACCACATGAGTGAAGGCTGTGTGTACAACTTATCCTGCTGTCTTTTTCTAGGATCCCACCAAACCTTCGAGAGCTTGTGTATATCTGGGGAATGACAGCAAGTGGAAATGAAACAATATGGGAGGCCATGTACTTAAGATATCAAAATGAAGCACTGCCAGCAGAACGGAAAAGCCTCATCAAAGGACTAGCAAGCATTGATAACAGAACTGTCATAGAAAGGTATTTAATTCTTTCTCGTCGAGGTGGGACATCCTAGCTAGCGCTCACTAAATAATAGGCATGTGTTAAATATAATGCATATGAGTGCTGGTTGTAATAATAATATGTGGTCTCATATATTACAGTATAATTATGAGGCTTCAAAACTACACTATAATTATGAGGCTTGCCATGGTGGAGGGTTCTGTATTGATGTGCACTGACATCACCCAGCACACAGGGCTCAAGCCTTTTGTCCCTCTTGAAATGTGACCACTGCAGCCAGGATCAAACCCCTAACTTTCGAGCCAGCAGCTAAGCACCCTAATTACCATGGTGGACTGTTGGTTGTTTAGTCACTGATACATGTGCTCTTGTATGCTTTGCTCACTCTGAGCGCTGTTTATACCTTGAGGGTTCTGATTATGATACAGTTGCCCTATACATGGTGTTCCAGCTAACTTCTGGGAAGACCTGGACAGGCACAGGCGCATGCGTGAGCCACCGGTGGGTCACAGCACGTCTGAGAGATATGCCAAGTGGCCCATGGGCGGGTCACTCTGCACCTAAAATGAGACATGAAGAAGGTGTGCCGCAGCGAACATGTTAAAAATTATGGTTAATTCCTCCATCATGAAAATCGGTATCACATGGAAGTAAAACTTATCCTCACAGAAGTTGGTAAATGGTTACTATACAGCGATATAACAGAGATTGCACAATGTGTATTGCTTTTGGCAGCTATAGCACCATTTAACATAAATGTGCCCACACTGACACTTGGTGATACATCTCCATCCCAATGAATAACGACTGTGGTGATCAATGATTAAACAAACCTTTGTGAAACCTGTAAAAGTAAATGACGAGAGCATAATCAGAGAAAGCGGTGTGACAGCCACAAGAGCATCACTGGTTAGATGCAGAACTTGGGCTTCCGGGGCATCTTAAGGAGAATTAGGTGGTCAGACTAGAGAGAGACGCAATGCATGTCATGTCTTTTTTCTAGCCAGGTCGCGATTTTTTTTGGGGTGAGTGTGAACAGGTGCTAACATAGTGTTAAAGTCAGGCAAGACAGCTACACATCACAGAGCTATTTTTAATATAAATGAATGCTATCAGTGAGGTCGAGGCTTGGGCTAAGGTGCCACCTCACATTTGTTAAGGCTTTGATGAAATTGCACTTCTATTGGAAATGCACTGAATGGGATGGGTGCATAGCAATGAAATGTTTCAAGAGCTAATCATGGAGGCCACAGTCATGATGCATTACTTCACTTTACTCCTCTCAGGCGTTTGTAAAGCTCTGAGAGTGTGTGACCGTAGTGCAGTAGATAGCGTGCCCAGCATTTGTTGTCTTGGACTAAGAAATCGTATGTTTGCCTCCTGTTGGTGGAACTTTTTTTCTTTAACTTTGTCTTTATCATCTGTACATGTGAATTTTTGCATTATTTCTATGATGGAAATGTCTCTGAAGTATTGGTGGAGCCTGGCATAAAGCACTTTTATGCTAAAAAAAATAGAAATAACGTGCCCACTGGTGCACCATAGTTGCAGTGCTCTCTAACAGGCATCAGTCACTTTCAAGTCATTAACAATAATAGAAAGAATATAATCTCATACCTTGTTTTCTCTACCATTCTAGGCTTCTGACATTGTCCCTTGATGACTCTGTCATCAAAAGGGCAGACTTTACTGTTCTTATTGAACACCTTGCAACCAGAGACATTGGTCTCCCCTTAGCTTGGAATTTTATAAGGAATAATTGGGAGCACCTTGCATCAAGGTAAAAAAGCCCTTTGATGACCTACTTTCTTTTCTTTTGTGAAATTTACATAGACCTATAATAGTAGTATATTATTTTTCTATTTCTTACAAATTCATATCCTCATGGCGGCAATTATGAATGATAAAATAGGAGCTTTACTAACAAGCTTTATTTAGAATTTTTGACCATACGTGTTTCCAAGTTCATAAATGTAAATAATGTGAGATAATTGTGCTCTATTTTATCAGGTACTCTTCTGATGAAAGACAGCTGGGGGCAGTAGTGTTTTCTGTTTGCAAACACTTCACCACACAAGAAGAACTTCAAAAGGCAAGTTGTGAAAAAATAACTGGCAAGAAGGTTTTCCATTTTCTTCCAAACTGATTGTTTATTTTACAAGTAGCTTTCTTGCTAAGACTTCCTCCTGCATGATAAAATTAGATGTTAGCAGCTTGGAAATTAATGAAAAACAAATGGCTGTTCTGGCTCAATATAAGCTTCTTTCTACTGACTCTAGAAAAAATACACAAAAATAAATATACCATGTCAGATGAAAGTCTTCACACTTTGCTTTTTGTTATTAATTAAAATTAATATATGTGATGCTTTACGTCCTTTTCAGGTTGAGCAGTTTTTTGAAGAATATCCCGAAGGAGGCAAAGGGAAGCGAAACAGCCTCCAGGTGCTTGAGACAGTGAGAGCAAATATTCGCTGGCGGAACTTTTTTGCAACAGCAGTGCTGACGTGGGTGAATAATTACCAATATGCGCCCTGGGAAAATCTCCGACTCCCAGCTCATGTCATGCCTGTGCACTATGATCTTCAGATTCAGCCCTTCTTGGACTTGCAGACATTTCAGGGCCAAGTGGATATCCGAGTGGAGCTTCTAAAACCTGTCAAGAGTGTTCATGTACATGCCAGAAATCTCAGCATCACATCTGCTTTTATGACAGATGAGTCAACAAAGATGATGGTTCCTCTGTCTGGCACATTTGTTTATGAACCGAATGAATTTTACGTGATGCAGTTGGGAAATATTGCTGAAACTGGAATTTACAGCTTGCATTATGAGTTCAAAGGTTTTTTGTCGAGAGACCTGCGTGGATTTTACCTTAGCAGTTACCCTGCTGGAATGAATGAAACAAGGTAAACATCAAAGCAACATTTCTTCTTTAAACTCTGTTGTAATTTTATTTATTTATGCTGTGAAAGCCGTAGTCTGACTGTAGTAAATAAGCATATTTTTTTTACAGGTACCTTGCAACCACACAGTTTGAACCTACAGATGCTAGAAAGGCATTTCCTTGTTTTGATGAACCGAGGTTTAAAGCAACATTCAGCATTAAAATCATCCATGATCCTGAGTACATCGCCCTCTCTAATATGCCAGTCATGGTGAGAAATAAATTTTAATATAAGAAGAACATTATGTGCTTAATGATGCTCAATACCAAAAAATTCTTTGTATGCAAAAATTTTACAATAGAACACAAGACAGAGTGAAATCATGTACTAGCTGGAGAACACTACTTATAATTCTGTTTAGCTACTCTAGCTCTTTTCTTTTTTAACACATAAATACGCACTCATCAGAGATATTTATTAAAATATTTCTTTTTTGTTTTATGCAGGGCACAGAGATAACAACAACAGGTCTACAAGTCACACAGTTTCAAAAGACTGTAAAGATGACAACTTATTTAGTTGCTTTGATCGTTTGTGACTTTCATAACATCTCTGGAGAGAGCTTGAATGGAGTAGAGGTAAGAAGCATTCATCTACATTGTAGGCTTTCACATACATGCTTTAATAGGTCTGAATTAAATTCTTTATTTTATGAATATAGCAACACTTTTTTCTTGTGCATTTATCTGGTTGAGAAAGCTCCCTTTGCAATGTTTGAAACAATGACTTCAAATACAACTATTTTAATGTTAAAACTATTGCTTCTTGCCACAATTTTATGAGGACCTTCATATTGTGGCTAGCTTACGTATCCACCAAGCAACGTAGGTAAGTTTGCCCGAAGCCAGCTGTAAGAGGCTTGGGAGGAATACATATGTAACAAAAAAAAAGCTTTTTAAACTTATTCAGACAGAAGACCACCTTAATTATCAATGCCCTGTCTATCCAGGAAAGGAGGCATTAGATGCAACAAGAACCCTGTATTCCGCCTGTGCTCCACTGTGTTGCGAAAGTGTTTTCCACCCCAATGCATTCAGCAATCTGCTGCTTTCCTGCAAGAACTTTTAATACAGGGCTAAGCAGTACATTTAACTAATGGATACTGCCACGATGTGCTGTTGTGGACAACTATTCCAAACCCCAGCAGATGTGCAGGAGGTTCCTTGTTGTAGCAATGAAAACAGCATGAAAATTGGGCGGTGGGTGAGAAACAGACAAGACAAGCACTGTTTTATCTGCTTCATACTCTTTATTCAGTTTTGCACTGTTTTCAATGTAGGAATGCATATCAACTAGCTCTTCAAGATACCCATCCTAGTTGTTGCATACCACTACTCTACCTAAAACATTGAGCATCATGTTAAGCTATGCTAAACTTGCCCATTTTCATTTTCTAGTTAATCTCACTTCACAGATTGGTAGCTCAAGCTATAACCACTGCATTTGTGTGTTTTTGGTTGCGTGTTTGCTTGATCATTTTCCTGGTTTCTATCCTGCCTCCTTTTATTTGTGGTAGCGCTACTGATGTACAGCCCTTGAATATTCCGTGCCTTCCAAAGAGGTCTCTTGGCTGTATGGTGCACTTCTTGTGGCTCTACCGACACTCTGCACTCTTAAATGATGGGTTTAAGAGTTTAGAATCCCCATACATGGACTGCCTTGGTCCTGGCAGTTGCAGTACTTTATACTTAAATTATTGATGTTGCATCTTGCGGGTAATCAAATACATTTTTTTCTAAACAGGTGAAAGTCTATGCCAGAGAAGAAGAAATTGGTAAAGGTCATTATGCACTTGGAGCTGCACTGAAAATTCTAACCTACTTTGAGGATTATTTTGGAATAAAGTACCCATTGCCCAAACTAGGTGAGTTTACCTGCTAATACATATGTACTAGTTACTTGTCTTGTTTTAGCATACTGCATTTTTTGCTAATATAACCCACCCATGCTTGTAGGCCGTACTCCCAACTTTAACTCTAAAAAAAAAGCTTAAAACTTTGAATATTAGAGCGCACAAAGCACAAAGAAGCACACAAAGAGTGACATTTACATACTAGCAACTAGCCCGTCAGTCTAATTTGTTGATGTATACAACCCCGCATATGACCCACACTCCAGCTTTTTAATGCGATAATGTTAAAGAGCTCGTTTCCCACAAATTCCGGTGTTGGTGTTGGCATCGATGTGAGCATCCTTGGTTGTGAGTGAAAAATCTTAATCTTATGCGTCACATAAAAATCTATGAAGATGCAAATAAAAATAAATAATAAAAAGTTGCGGCTCTGGGTGAGGATCAAACTCAGATCGTTTGCGTTCAAGGAGCTGTTCTACCACACAGTCACACGTATGCTTGGAAATACAGTTAAAGTAGCTTCCCCTGCTTGGAAAGGCAGTGAAAATAACATTCATGCTTCACAAACACGTGCGTTATGTATACAGGCTTCACAATAAAACATTTATTATCATAGTAATATTGCATGGTACAAGCGTGCATTGCCATTAGGTGCAAGAACATGTTTATCATAACGACTTTGTGGTTTAAAGCAAGCCATTCTTTACAAAAGGCACTCATGTTACTGCGCGTATTTCTCTTAAGAACACATAGTGGGTGCATATCATGTCTAAAAAGAATTCACACACATAATTGCTAATGATTTAAACCATACATGCTACACATTACACAGGATGCAGCCATATGCGAAAGCTTAACCGACACAAGCCACTTTCAACTTTATCGATTACATTATTGTGATCGACAAATTAAACTTCCTGAGTAACATCATACAATAAAAAGTATGCACTAAGTGGTTGAAGTATGCCCTAGGGACAGGGTATCGCTTTTGCGTTCAACTCTTAAAGACAAAGCTTAAGGATACCCCAATTTTTTAAGCACATTTTTATATTTTTGGGTACAGATATGATATATAGCACACTGAAATATAACAAATATGATATATAGCACACAAAATACAATATATAGCACACTAAAACTTCTAAAGAGAATTGCACTCTGCTTGAATTCTATGCTATACGCAAGCCGCTCCCATCACGGTAGAATGCTGGCTGAATCTTTTTTCGATACTTGGGTACCCAAGCTAATTGCACATCAAACTCTAAAGTGCTTTAAGAAAGACACCCAGAAAAAGCAGAACTAGCTGAAATGCACTGAAACTTTGTTGTTGACATAATTCTCTAGTTTATATAAAGATATAAAATTATTGCCAAGAAAAGCTTCAAACTTTAAAATGACATATATAAGTGTTTCTGGTACCTAAATCTCATTTCTTCATGTTGTGGAAGCCAGTAATTAAGTTATCTGGGTTAAAACAAACATCTTAAGCCTTGTAGATGTTCTACGAAGTTCACAGTAATAGTGCTTTTCACCTGATACGTTCATTTCTAGAACATTGCCATGCTTGAAATGTCAGAAAAAAATTTGGAAACTACTACATCTATTGTGCATGAGCTCATGAATTAGTTGTGCAACAATGTTTGTTCACCAGCCAACACTTTCATTGATATCTGAGACAAATGGGATTTTTGTTATGTTGCCAGGGGGCCTGCTCATCATTTAATCATGAGGAAGCAGCAGGATTTGGCAGCATGAAACAGCAGCAGCATGTGATTACCAATAACTTCATTAAAATTATATATTGATACGGAGTCACTCTGCTGGAACATACTTGGTAGAACACACTCGTTTGCACTAAGTTCATCCCAGACACTTATGAAAGATGTTGCAGGATACTTGCTTATTACTCTGTTAGAATTGTGTACCAGACTTAGTAATTTTTTCTCTGGTCATTTGCAAAGTGTAAATGCTCACTGGAAAATGTGAACTAAATGAAGCACTATTATACTTCACTGGCAGAGAAACAAATAAATTAAACAAAAAAGAAATTGTGATGCAAGCAAATCTTAATTGGCTTCTTCAGGTATTTTTATTGTTATCCCCATTCTGTATCTGACAGTTTGTATTGTGGTGTGTCTCACCTTCTATCCTTAAACAGATTTAATTGCCATTCCCGATTTTTCATCTGGAGCAATGGAAAACTGGGGATTAATAACATTTCGAGAGGCTCGGCTTCTCTACGACCCAGCAACATCATCAACCTCTGACCTTATGACTATATGTCGTATCGTTGCACATGAGATTGCTCACATGGTAAGCTTATCTCAATGACAAGTCAATTTTAAAACTACTATATAACTGGTAGTCTTCATCTAAAAGTGTTTTCCACAGCAGAATCAATTTATATTTACTTTTGATCTTACAGGCTAACCCCTCTACAAGAGGCACTATCGTAAAAGACAAATGGGTATAAGAGATGCCAGCGTGCATACCTTAAAATTGCAGTTGATAAAAAAATGCATACGTAGTACCCTGCTTGTAAGAGGCACCTTATATAAAAGACAAAAATTGCTATCTTGTGCATGTTTGTTGTGAAGAGGTTCACCGGTATAATGCACATCAGGAAGTTAAGGAATTCATCCAATGAGGCAGAATTTCACAAAATTTACTTTAAAGCATGTGGCAACTCCTGACGATGTGAACATTTAGCACAATATTCTTTTACTCCACATGTGAGAGGGAACAAATTCTGTCCACAGTTACTGTTTCCTTCCACCTTAACTTGGATAAGGTTAGAACTGTTGTAGAAAGCAGAGAGGCACGAAAACATCCATGATGCAGCAAATGCAATCCAACATGATGAAATATTGGGAGTGCTAACTAACGGTACACAAGAGAGGAAACAAAGGAGCACAGACTGAAACTCTGTTTATTGAATGAAGATAATATATACCAGAAAGACAAGAATAAAAAAGAAAATGCAAGGGGGAAAGTTTCACTGTGATCAAGTGTCGTCCAGAAACGAGATTTCACAATCTAACAATGATATAGACAGTGAGCTCACACAACTATCAATAATGTTTTTTATGAAAAAGGCTTCCACAATATCTCTAGTTTTTGTGTCACGATGGGTGTATAATATATACGTGCACGAAAATTCAGGTACACAGCCACACTTTGTGCAATGGGTGGACAAATGTAAACCCGGGGCTGACCTCAGCGCATTGTAGTGTTCTCGCAGGCGGACATTCAGGCAGTGCCCAGTCTTGCCAATATATAACCTGCCACAAGACAGTGGGGATAAAATAAACCACGTTTGACCGACAATTGGTGAAACAATTCGTATGCTTAACACCACAACCTTTCTTCACGAGGCCTGTGTTGATTCTGTTTTTTAAATCAATTCTAGAGCATATTTGCTGTAATTTTCTGCTGTTGGAAAATACGTCAAGGTTAAATTTTTTTGCATATTTTTTTATTATTATGTGAGAAACTGTGCACATACGGAACTACAGCAAACTTATGTTGTTTATCTGCACCTTTTATGGGGCATTCCTTTTCTTATTTTATTTGCAATACCTTCTGAGCGGCGAAAACTGCATCAGATGGAAAGCCTGCCTCTTGCAACCTAATTACTTGATTTGAAAAAACACAGGTCATTTTGTGGTAACCACAGTTCATTACAGCAGAATTGAGAATCGCAATACCCGATTTTACTTCTTTTGAATGCGAAGAAGAGTAATCTACGATTGGTTTTATTGAACGGGGAGAGTAAGACCAGCATAGATGATCTGCATGAAAAGATAACTCTAGATTGAGAAACTGCAATATATTATTTTGGAGGACCTCGTGTGTGAACCGCAATCCATGCCGTTTTTGTTGGAAGGTTTCTATAATCTTATCCCAGTTTTTTTACAAGGAAGCTAAATGCACGAGCACAAGGTAATCGTCCATACCTGAAGACATTAATTACAAGGCGGCTCAGTGCGGTTTTCAAAGCTCTATCAAAATACCTTAGGAATATGTCACACAGAACCGGTGCTACATGAGAGTTGATACAAATGCCAGACTTTTAAATGTAAAACTTTTCGCCCCAAAATACAAGAGTAGAATTGAAGTGAAACAGGAGTAGTTCCATGAAGCTATCAACAGAGTTCATACATTTGTTTATGAATGATTTTCCTGTGTGATGCACTTTTTAACATACTTCATAAGTTCAGGCTGTAGAACCGAGTAAAACAAATCGACAACATCAATACTAAAACCACTGCTATTAGGCATTTCTTTGGTTGCTAAGAAGTCGACAACCTGCTTTGATCTCTTTACCTTGTGCTCGTTCATTCGGCTTCCTTGAAAAAAAATCGGGATAAGATTATAGAAACGTTCGAACAAAAATGGCATGGATTGTCGTTCACGCATGAGGTCCCCCACGATAATATATTGCAGTTTCTTGATCTTGAGTTATCTTTTCACGCAGATCATCTATGCTGGTCTTACTCTTCCTGTTCAATAAAACGAATCCTAGATTACTCTTCTTTGCATTCTAAGGTACAAAAATTTGGTGTTGCCATTAACTTTCTCAATTCTGCTGTAACGAAATCTTGTTATCACAAAGTTTCCTGTTTTTAGAAATCAAATAATTAGGTTGCAAGAGACAGGCTGTCCATTTAATGTTCTAATTTTCGCTGCTCAGAATGCATTCAAAATGAAGAAAAGAAAGGAATGCCCCATAAAAGATGCAGATAAACGACGTAAGTTTGCTGTAGTCCCGTATGTGCATTTGTTCTCGTATGAAATTAAAAATGCGCAAAAAAGTTTTTTCTTGATGTTGTGTTTTCAACCAGCGGAAAATTATAGCAAATGTGCTCTAGAATTGATTTAAGAAACAGAATTAATGCAGGCCTCATGAAGAAAGGTCGTGGTGTTAAGCATACGAATTGTTTCATCAATTGCCGGTCAAACGTGGTTCATTTCATCTCACTGTCTTGTGGCAGGTTATATATTGGCCAGACTGGGCGCTGCCTGAACGTTCGCCTGCAAGAATACTACAATGGGCTGAAGTCGGCCCCGGGTTTACATTTGTTGGCTCATTGCACAAAGTATGGCTGCGTACCTGAATTTTCGCGCACGTATATATTATACACCCATCGTGACACAAAAACTAGAGATATTGCAGAAACATTTTTTATAAAAAAGAATATTGATAGTTGTGTTTGCTCACCGTCTATTAGACTGTTAGATTGTGAAATCTCGTTTCTGAACGACGCTTGATCGCGGTCAAACCTTCTCTCTTCTATTTCCTTTTTTTTCTTGTCTTTCTGGTATATATTATCTTCGTTAAATAAAGCAAGTTTCACTCTGTGCTCATTTGTCTCCTTTCTTGTGTCCTGTTAGTTTGTTGCACTCGCAATATTTCATTGCGAATATATACCAACTAGCCCGCCTATCAGCCCTTCTGGTCTCCAACACGGCAGAATTTAGTAAATTGCATAATAAATCTGAGAAAGTCACCCACTGACTATGCGACTGCAGCCACATTTGTTTTGAGGAGGCACAGTAGCAGAGAAGTCCCAGCATGCTTCTCTGTGAAAAAACAGTCTCAAACATTTCTTTGCTCATGCTCATATGTGGTTGTCATTGTATTTGTCAGTACCTATGCAACTTAAGGCTCTGCTATTGTGAAACAAAGCTGCACCTGATATATAGGAGCAAAGAAATACGTGAGTACTCATAATGGGCTGGTCTGAAAAAGCTTTATTTAGGTCCCGCAGGATGTGCTTAGCATATAGTGGGCGCCTCTCACATAAAGAATGACAGGGAATACTAGCAGCCTCTCGCAGTCCTGCTGAACGGCAGACCAATGATTGATACTGTGTATCTCGTAAAACTCTTCTACTTGCTGCTTCTGCTCTTAACTTAGTTTTAAAGTAAATAGAGATGAATTCATGTTGGCAGGATTAAAAGTCCAACAATCTTTCTTTTGCCACACAGCACTATAGGGACTATTTCTTCATTCATGGTAGAAACATACAAAGCATCGTACTCTTGACCTAGCTTGTATAGCTTAAAATCATCCACAAGATTTTCATAGTGACTGCCTAATGCATATAAAAAATTGTTACATTGCTCAAGAAGACAAAGACATATGAGCTGTGTATGACTGGTGCCCATCCTGTGCAGCTCATGGGCTTATGTCTTCGTCTTCCACAGGGCTATTATCGTGTTTCATAATGCCAGCAATCAACTTCCCCAATTTTTCGTATTCTGGCTCAGATGCTTATACTGGTCATTACAAATATGAATTTGCCTGGTTTTTATTCTTACCCTAGCATTCTTTTACTTTTTCAAAGTATATGGAGCATCTAAGTGCAGTGCCTGCATGAACATTTTGAAGTGATGACGGCCGATTATGCAGATCCTTATAAACAGCTGCCTTATTTTATTTGTTATTGTTTGATGGATTTATAGTTTCAAGAAGCTGTTTCTTCTGGATGGATACTTCTCAATACCTACTATATGCTTATTCATAAGTATAAGAATAGCAGGTTGCTGCCTAAGCTGTATCAAGTGGAGGTGTACAAAAATTTGAAAATTTCTAATGATGTATCGGATACTGTTTTATTCACTTTCGTAGTACTTGAATCAAATAGTGCATAAGAAATACCTGATATCTATAAAGTGCTTTAAATAATCTACACCAATGGGAAGACTCTAAAAGGGCAAAACATTGAAATAGCAAGCAATTATTTTTGCTGTTTTAATTATTTGATTACTAAAGTCTGCACAGATATATATATGTTCTCTGTGTGACCATGTATATGTAATAGTGTTATATAAGCCATGCCTTCATCTTTGCCACCCTGTGGTGCTTCTTGTTTTCTTATGCTTTACAGGTGCAGTGGTTTTGTTCCTTCATGCACCTCACATTTTGTATGCATGACGTGTTGGTGACATGCACCCCAATAAATTAATGCCATTGTTAACACTTTCTAGCTTAATAGAATGCAGAATCTGCCCTATATTGATTAGCTGTAATTGAAATTGTTTAAAATAATTAGTACATTTAAAGTAAGATAATATGATTTTGTCTAAAAAAGAAAAGTACCGGCATCTCCTGGAACTTTGTAGCACGAAGGAAGAAGATAGTAGTATGTAATTTGCATAATCCTATGTGTTTATGAATTGGAGGTCTTATTAATGTGGTGTGTATTTGATGGGATCTGAATGGGAGGTCTCATTAGTATGATGTTTGTCTGATAGAGTAAGCCCAGTGGTTTTTATTTGCAAGGCCATGACTGTTATGTGCTCTTAATAATTGAATGTGGATTTATCTAACTCATGCTTATCTTCACTTTCAGTGGTTTGGAAATCTTGTTACCATGGAATGGTGGGATGATCTTTGGCTTAATGAAGGGTTTGCCAGCTACATTCAGTACAAAGGCATGGCTTATGCCAGTCCCGAGTGGGAACCTGTGAGTTGATAGTTTCTTCAGTTATAAGGCGTGAACTGAACACATTAGTTTCTTAATGTAACATACACTATTTATAACTCTTATATAATATTACTGTATTATTCACAGCAATATCCTCTGAACATTTCATTTAGAGACGTAAAAAACATATAAGGAGCATGATGAACAGCAAAGTTAATATTCATTAAGGGGCCTTTCTTAGCACACTACGTTCTGTTTCATACGTTCACCTGCATCACCGTGTGTTCAGTGTCATGAATTTTCCCAAGAAAACCTGAATTTGGCATTTATACCTAAAGGATTTTATCAGTAGGGCTCGAGACAGAGGGACAAAATCACAAAGCAGTCATCTTTTTCGTGTGCAAGAGAAATGAGAAAGCCAGCAGTTCTGCAGCCTTAAAAAGGTACCTAAAGAAAAGCTACCTTAATCCTGAATATATGTTGGTAATTTGAGCTGTTGGAAATGAAGTAGAAATAACAAGTATTATAAATATGCCAAAGCAAGGAGAAAGTCGAGTGAAGAAGCAGTTATAGAGATAATCAAGTAGCAGAAGCATAGCAAAAAATAAAAATAAGCTGAATAGCCTGTACACGGGTCAATGAGCAGTAAAGCCAGTTGTGATCGTATGAAATGTGTGTACATGCACATCCCATGATGTCAGAGAACATGCATTACACAAAGGCACAGACATTTGGAGAAATCAAAACATTCTCTCCCAATGTGCAATTGAAAACTTGCTTGAGGAACCAGCTATGCAGCAGCTTCCACATCACAGTATAAAACTATAATGTATGCCGCTGCAGTCATTCACTTTGGATTGGCTACAGCAACATTCATGACTGTTGCCTTTGCTTCATCGTGTGCCTTAAGTTTGAAGCAGAAGGCAGGCTTTTTTTAACTTTTATTTTTTTGTCTACAATTTAAACAAAAAGTTTTTCTATTCCCACCTTTACCCAAAAAATAAATACTAAGCACTCATGTACAGAGCAGTTTTTGCCTTTCGTGGAAGCCCTATTTTCTTGTGTGTAGTACTATAAAAGGTAACAAATGAACCCTTAAGTACCTTGACATCTCAGGAAACAACGCAAATGGAAACAAATGAACCCTTAAGTACCTTGACATCTCAGGAAGATGTCACATTATTTTTTGTAGAAAATGCTAATACTGATCAATTAGGAGTTTGGAACCTATAAGAATAATGATTAATTTCTTTCAAAATTTGCACCTATGCATTCACCAAAAAAAGAGAGTAATATTACACATTTTTTTTATCTGTATTTATAATTGCATTGTATTATGGTGCTGTAAGTGCAATTATATTTAATATGTCATTGTATTGTTCTTTCTGTTATGACCCTCTATGAAGGTTGGATATATTACTAAATAAATGAATAAAACTAATTTAAGACAGCTGTTAAACCTTATATATTGTACAAAATTTTTATACTCCACATAGTGACTTTAGTTTAATTTGCTTGCTCACATTATATTTCTCATTAGTCTTCACTGTTCTGCTTCATTCTAGGATGCTTTGTTTACAACTGTTTTAGCCAGTGTCCTTGAAGCAGATTCTGTGATATCATCCCACCCAATCATTCAACATGTCAATAACCCAAGTGAAATATCATCACTCTTTGATGTGATATCCTATGCAAAGGTGAGACATTTCATCATTGTAATTAACAGTAAATTTTTTATTCTCTTACGAATAAGAGCCTTCAGCTAGTAAAATCTAGCACTGGTAATGAGATGCATTAGCTATTCAATGGGAAGTTTTACACAAATCCTGGGCATAGCATCTTTTGACTATGTTTTAGTATGCATGCTTAGGACATGATGGAAACCTTGATTAGTTTTCACTATGTGTTCACTGTTTTTAATATGGCAATGATACGTTGCAGGGTTCATCAGTCCTTCGCATGTTAGAAGACTTCATGTCAGAAGATGACTTTCGATATGGCATAGGTGTAAGTTGCTATAGACTTTTCTGTATCTCACTGTATGTTTTACTCAACTGTAGACTAATCATTTGCCTTCTCTATCCAGAAATATCTGAAAAAGTACAAGTTTGCAAATACAATCACCTTTGATCTTTGGGATGAACTTGAGGCATCATCATCTAGTGTAAGTGACCATATTTATTAAGCATGTACAATATTGTTCATGCATGAAATTATCAATAATATTTCTCATATGAAAGTAGTCAAGTGTTAATGGTCATCACGCACAAAAAACTAGGTCATGATAACTTGTTGATAAAAATAATAAAAGACAAGTAGCAAAAAGTTGCATTGGGTTGTCCTAAATATTTCTTGTGCTTATTTTACAACTGATGGTTTTAACTTGTTCATTTTTTTCTCTTACTCTTTACATTAAAAAAATAAATTGAGATGATTGGACACGACCAAGTGACTCTATACTTTTATTTCAAATAGTTCTTTGCACAGTTTTAAGCTTTTTTGTATTTTTAATTACTCATGGTAGACTTGTTGTTTAGGGCTTGAGCATAACTAGTATCATGGAAAGCTGGACCAAGCAAATGGGATTTCCTCTTGTTTCTGTGGAAAGAAATGGAAACAGTTTTGATATGAGACAGTCACAATTTTTGATAGATCCAGACACTGTCATGAATCGCAAGCCAACACCATTCAAGTAAGTGAAGTGTCTTTTACTTTATAAGGCTATCTTCAAGCAATAATAATAATAATAATAATAATAATAATAATAATAATAATAATAATAATAATAATAATAATAATAATAATAATAATAATAATAATAATAATAATAATAATAATAATAATAATAATTGATATAGGAAAGTAAATAAGATTAAGGATAGGCATTTTTCTTAAATGCGTTTTTGCTGTAGAACAAAGACCACTCTTACTAACATATGAGTGGTCACAGGGCATGTCTGGTAAGCCACAATAGATGCAAAGGCAGAACAGAGGTGGCCAAGCTTCTCTATAGTTTTTGCACTATCTCAAAATGTAATGAAATTGAACATGTGTTCAGGTCCAGCTAATTGCTTATTTATAAAAGATTCTGCTACATTCTAAGAGCAAAGGCTCGATGTTTATATTAATATTAAGGAACTCATCTTCCTGTACCGAAAATTGCTTCTACATGAGAAAGTACTTTATTCAACGTCGATAAGTTTTATATGACACACTGGTGCCATTGTTTTAGCATGAGTTTAAGAAAGGTAAGCTGGCCTAACTTTTTGTGCAACTAATCAACTTATTTTTTTTTCATAAGTAGAATAAAACTGATCTATGAAACAAAGGTTTGCTAGTTTAAATTGATTCAGTGTTTTCTATGATTTTTCATTTAAAAGTCTGAATAACATTTACATGAGTGATAATGAAAATGTCCACACTCGCAAATTTTAAATTTTCAGGTACATCTGGAAGATTCCCGTCACATACCATACCAGTGAAGGTAAAACAGGACTGCTTTGGCTGACGAAACCCCAGCAAAGTGAGCAATAGTAATGCATAATATTTACAGAAATATTATTATTCAAAACTGAATTAATAGTGTATGTATCATTATTATTTGTTCACAGCAGTATATTGCATGTAGATCTTTCAGTGTAAGTGCTGACAACACACATTTTTTTAAAAGGTCTAAATACTTTTAGTTGCATGTGTAATAAAAGAAAAACAGTAAGATTCATCTTAACACATCATTGATGAGATCTAACAGACAATCATGCCAAGGAAAGTATAGAGAATAATATTAGACGTAAATGTAACGTAAATGTGAAGAAATGAAAGTGGACGAAATTATAACTTGCCGTGGGCAGGGATCGAACTCGCGACCTTTGAATAACGCACTTGATGCTCTACCAACTGATCTACCACAATGGATATGCACTTGTCCATTTTATGGGGTGTATATGTCCATTAATAGTGGGAGCGTCAGTCAGCGCCACAAGTGGCCATGATGACGAGTGTGGAACACTCCTGTTTGGCATCACGTTGCATGTGACCTTATTACAATCTGTCAGCTCACCAATAATCTCTTGTATACCATGTAAAGGCACCAAGTCTGCCAAAACGAGACCCTCGCTATGAATAAGGGAAGTAATTTACACTTCTTTCTTTCATTCATTGTGAGGGTCTTGTTCTGGCAGACATGGTGCCTTGACGTGGTATACGAGGAATTTTTATTATCAGCACCGTGCATATAGCATCGCCCTTTAGTCTTGTGTTAATTTATTGATTTTAGTGACTGTTAGTTGAATAAATGAAAAATATAGTACACCTTAAGGGGGGATGTGGCAATGGCAATGGTAAATTTGGTCAAAGTGTTCAGTTTTATAATTACTTTACTTTCTGTAATTTTAAAACCACGTTTTACATCGTAGTGTGATTTTATATCAAAATAAGTAGTAAAACTTGAGAAACGAGCATTTCACTGGTGGGCTGTTGTCAAAAGCTATGTGAAAATGGGGCATAGCAAAATGAAAATTTGAAGCTTTTTCTTGGCACAGCGCCACTATATTGGCATCATCATAAAGAGAACAGATTGGAGCTCAATATAGCCACAAATATGCATTTCTACAATGAAGAATAAAGCCAGTTTTCTTCCGAGTTCCGTTTTATCAGCTTCTAGCTCCGATTTTTTTGAGCTCCGTTTTCTCAGGTTTCATTTTTTGAGCAGCTGCTGTCAGTCATCCCTGTGCCATTACACAAGAGATTTAATCTATAGCCATTCAATTTCCTGCACTTGGATTCTGAGACATTGGTGAGTGCCGTAAAGCTGCCCATATTTGTGTGCACATCATACATACTTTGGTGATTGGCTTTTTGTAAAAGTTGTTGATAAGACACTATGTCCAGGACATTTCAAAAAAATTTTTGTGTGCTTACTCATATATTAAAAATAAACCAATTGCATTACGGCATAAAATGGACCCTTGTAAATATTCCTTTACAAAATTTTGACAAACTTGGCCTAATTATACAATTATTTTGGGGTGACAATGAGAGTTTATCAAGTGTTGTAACTCAAAAGTTATATTAGATAGCCCAAATTTAATTTCAGTTATAATATCAGTACAACAAATGACATTTGCATGCCGAATTTCATTCGTTTAGCTTCATAAATAACAAAAATTATTTTCATTGCCACGTCCCCCTTTAATGTGATATATCGCACGGCATAAAATAGAAGGCTAAATAAATACTACATTAAATACTACATTACAAGTGAACTATAATGACACCACATCGAATAATTTTTCACATATAAAAGACGGCCACTTTGTTAGTAACAAGCTTGGCTTTCCTCAAAGCAAAGCTAAGCTGTTTGTAATGTTGAAATTGTCGTGTTGAATGTGCTTATTGACTCTGCATAAAACTGGCAAGTTGGAGCACCTTTTCTCGCAGGAGAGTTGGCATTGAATGAAATAAATTAGTGAAACTTTGATAAACAAAAACAAAAGCTGATATGATATTTAGCCATTGCAGCGAATGTCACTCTTTCACACACTATGTAATGCAGTCCAGAGGATTGTTGTAAACAAACATGAAGAGGCTTTATGCAATATACAATGTAAGCCTCAAGTTGTGCCTACTGTATATATAGTTATATGGTTTAATACATTATTATGTTTGTGCTATAATTTAACACATTCAAGATGGATATATATAAATGTTGACATGGATGGCAATGGTTCTGCAAACTTAGTGAAGTGGCGTACCACTGTATTGCTAGCGCATGCATGTATTATGCATACATACATTAACAGAACACTAATAGCCAACTGTCTAGCACTTGATCCACATGTAGTACATGTATTTGGAAAATTATTGTAAGGGGATTTCACTTAAGGTATTAGGAGATCTTTTTGACAGTGTTAGTAAAGCACAAATAATGAAAAAGAATGAAAGAAAGAAACACTGTGTTTAATAAATAAAAATATAAAAAAAACATCTTTGTTCTAGTATCGTTTACCAAGTTGCTCACCAGCTTGGTTTATATACTGCTGCTAATTTGCTTTGCATGAATCAGAGTGCTAATGTGCATACCTTTACCAGCTCAATTGTGGCCCCTTCCACATTAAAAATTTGAGATTGGGCTAGTTGACATTCCATCTTCAACAAACAGCTCAGGAGCGGAGAATGGCCAAGAAAAGGAACAAAGACAGCATGTGTCTTTGTTCCTTTACATGTCCATTGTCTGCATCTGTGTCATTTGTTGAAAGTAGTTCAAGTTTCATATAGCAGTGATGCTCTATGACGAATGCATTTTAATACCACAATTGGGTGCCTTACCTGCCTGTCGCATTTCACCTGGTATAAACACCAAAAAAGTGTGCATTATTTGTAGCAATGTCAAAAAAAGTATAGATGTTGTGCAAATGTTTTTGTGGCACCACCTCCCATTTTCGGAAGGAAACACTAGGTTACAGGCAAAATACAGTATGCACATTTTTTTTAAAGGTTATGGTGACAAAAACAATATTACAATGCTGTTTTTTTTTTCAAATTCTATACTTTCTATTATGCATCACTTGGCTAACACATACTTGTGATTTATTTTGGAAAGAATAAGCTAGTGATGTATCTAAATCTTGCATTAAGACAAATTCACCACAATATGCCTAAGTATGTAGGTGCAAAATTTTATAGCAAACAAGCCAGCATTTAAATAGAATGAGTCAGATCTAACCACAGTGTATTCCTGTTTCTACAATATTTTGTACACTGCACCCAGAAAATGCAAAGACCAGCTGGCCACTTCTTGTGGTGGTCAACTTGTCTTTGCATTTTTATGATATAATATAGGCTAATGGGTCAAACCATAATATAAAGTTTTATCTGAAATCAAGATAGCAACATTAGATTCCATATTAATTATAAATGTGTTGTGCAGTACAAGTTTTCATACGGTCATTATTTTACTTATTCATATCAATTTTTATTAGCCCCGCCACGGTGGTCTAGTGGCTAAGGTACTCGGCTGCTGACCCGCAGGTCGCGGGATCAAATCCCGGCTGTGGCGGCTGCATTTCCGATGGAGGCGGAAATGTTGTAGGCCCGTGTACTCAGATTTGGGTGCACGTTAAAGAACCCCAGGTGGTCGAAATTTCCGGAGCCCTCCACTACGGCGTCTCTCATAATCAAATAGTGGTTTTGGGACGTTAAACCCCACATATCAATCAATCAATCAATCATATCAATTTTTATTATTTGTTTATTTGTTACAGTGCACTGGAGTATTTTTTAACTCGGTGCAAGGATGAACTGCAACCTCTACATATTGTATTTCTTCCCTTTACAGCATTCAGAATAGCAGTTTCTGAAAATTCATGGGTTAAATTCAACAACAATATGACTGGAGTCTTCTTTGTGAAGTATGACAAAAAGAACTTTCTTTTACTTGAAGATGTACTTAAACGGGACATCAATGTAAGTTGAATTTTATACATAGCAGAAAATAAGTGACAGCTTTATTTTCAGCCATTTTTTAAAAGAATTCAGATGCCAAATTCTAGGGTATTACCAGTTTTATCTTGGGTACTATACAGTTTCTTGTATACCACAGTAATGACAGTAGTGTGCATGATCATGTTCCCAGCAACCTAATATAAGACCATTTCTATAACATATTATCACAACGCATCAAAATACTATTCTTTTTGGCTCACTTTTGCACTTTCTCTTGCACCCATGGTATGTGGCACTTGGTGCACATGGGGCATTATCCCTCTCGAACTTTAAATGGAGTATCATGGCACTGATATTTTCTTATATTTTACTATGAGACCATTTTATTATAGTAGAATGGCCCAATAAAATAAAATGGTTTCAGGTAGACATTTTAGTATTTGTAACATATTTTTGCCACTGCAACAATAAACTAAAATTGACAAGAAAATTTGCATTCCATAAATCAATTATTTGTTCACCAAAAAAGTGCCTTCGAAGTTTATGTTGCATTGTCATAGCTCTATCTCCAATGAAAGCTGTTGAGACATTCTGGAGTGTTCATGCGAATGGTCTGTTTTATTGCAGATTAGACAAGGTATATGTAAACTGGTAGCATAACTTCCATAGAAGCTCATTTAACCAGTAGTAGGTGGCTCATTGCCACCGTCGCCATCTATGCATGGCAGAAAGAACTAACAGCAAACAAAAATAAAAAATAAATTATGATGCCATAAACAAAAGCTGTAGGGACGGCATGCATTTGTCATTTGTGGCGTATAGCGCGAAAATAAAATTTTAATCACTGACCTTTTACGTCCTGTTATCAATACACTATTTTATTGTGCTTTATGGCTTGCTTAAGATTAAAAAAAAAGGCCAACAAGAAAGATTGAGAAAGCAAAGTTGTTTTATTAGCTGAATAATGTACTTGCAATATACAATAAAGACTTTGCAGATGAAATTGTGACACAACTGTTTATAAGCAAAATACACTATTTTATTGTGCCTTATGGCTTGCTGATTGCGTGCGTGAGAGAAAAAAAGGAGACCGACAAGAAAGATTGAAAAAGCAAGGTTGTTTGATTAGCTGAATAGTGTACTTGCAATATACACCAAAGGCTTTGCAGATGAAATTGTGACACAACTGTTCATGAGCAAAATAGCATATTAGTTCAAAAACGCGTGCTGCTTAGTCATGGAAAACCACTGCAGCGAGACAGCAGCTCTCAGAATATCGCTTTGGCAACAGTAGAATACAGCCCCTTGTTGCTTAGTGTGTTCCATTCACAATCACCAAAGGCGAGGGCATGCCGGCTGTGTGTCATCGAAGGCAGTCGGCAGTCACAGGACCGGCCATCTACATGCTCTGTGAGCTAGTTTAGCTTTGAAATGTCCCGCCAGTGAACAGCACATAAGCAAATGAATAAGCTACAGAAGGTATGCAAGAAACCATCATGCAAAAGTGATTTATGTCCATTGACCTGGCAATGCGTCAAACTAAACACAAGCCTCGATAGCAGACTGCCTAGATACGCCCTTCATTAATGGCACTCAGCCAAAAAAATGAGGCAATCAAACATTTTGCCAAGTGTCAGATAAAGTGTGAAGAAAATTTATAGTTAACTATGACATATATAAAGTTACGACTATATATTTGAAAAAAAATTATATTGAGTTTTGGTTTTGGTTATCTGTTCCCTCCTCACCTAGTGGTGCTTCAATCAACGACGGGCATTGATGCCTGTAGCAATAGGTTTTCGACAGTTTTCCTTCCAAGTTTCACGACCAATATAGTTTTACCATTAATTAGACATGCAACAAGACATTATATTTTGACCTCTTACAGTTAGTGAATAAAGAAGTTAATATGCAGAAATAAGATGTTATTGACTAAAGTGGGCAATGAAAAACTTGTGATTCTTAGATGAATCTCTCTACAGCAGGCCATTAGTGTCCTTTCAAATTGTGATAAAACCTTGTGAGAGAGCCATTTTATTGGCCAGTGCGTTCTAAATAAAATCTACTCAGTACCACTGAAGACTGCTGATATAAAAGTGAATTGCTTTCCTTCTTTTTTGATTATTCAATGACCAGATTTTAGTGTTAGTGACATCGCATGATGAAAGAAGTGTGGCATTACAGTAATGCTAATAAAAAGGATATTTCTAATGTATCCAGAATAGAATTCGAAGGAAATGTAATGATAATATAAAAAGAATTTTAGTGAATAATGTTTTAGGGACCTATTCCACTCGGTTTCTACTTTAAACACAGTAAGTTTTGTTTCATATGCTCGACATGCCACCCAACCAGGCATAGTAGTAGTACTGGTCTTTTTCATAAGCTAGCTATATGCTAACCATAGTCCTAACTTCATATCTGAGGTGATGTTCTGGACATTGGTGCATTCCTTCATTCTGTGAAATTTGGTAATAGGGAAATTTATAATGTTTACGATAGTGGTTATGTTTACAGCAGACCTCTGGGCCAATCAGAACTGACAAGGTGGTCAAATTAAAATGATGGAATTCAGCTGTGCCCACCATACTCTTAACTTCTTTCTTCATTTTTACGTAGTACACATTTACATCTTTGATTGTTCTGAGTTACAGCAACAGCTTACAACCAGAAATGGAAATAAGGGGCATTTAGTGAAATGAAACAACTGGCAAAAAGAGGGCAAGATCACACTTTCTTTTGTCTGAGCTTTTTAGATTGGTGTAACTCACAACAAAATGGAAAGGAAAGCTGGTTGCAAGTATTCAGATATAAAAGCAAGCTTCTGTGTGTTACTGAAGCTATTCCACTGCTGGTGTGAGTCAAGAGCTGAAAACACACTTGGCAGCCAGTCACTTGATCTAGTTATAAGGGAGTTAGTATTATATATATTGATAAGACACCTAAACTTCAGTTCAACAAAGTTTTTTCACAAAGCTATAGGCTTCAACTATAACTTGACTGATAAAAAGTTAAACCACACATTCATGAACAAGTGTGGCTGCTTAAACACTTATGGTTCAACTTTTTTGTGCCTTACAGGCTTTTACTCCAGCTGACAGGGGAGAACTGTTGGCAGAAGCCTTTTTCCTAGCTAGAGCAGGTCACTTGAGCTACATGTCTGCTCTGAATCTGAGCAGATACATTGTCCAGGAAGACCATTATGTACCTTGGTCAACATTTTCCTCGGCAGTTTCATTCCTGCATCATCGCCTCACTGGCACAGAGACTGGAAAACATTTCAAGGCAAGAGGCAGATTTTTATTTACACATTTTAGAAGTACTAATCCAAGCTTTATAAAGATGTTTGTTTTTTATTGAAAATAAGAAAGAAACTGCTCATTACAAGGCAGCCAGACACAACCTAGTATTCAAAATAAAAAACAAGGTGTTTCTCTTATAAATGTGTATATATGATATGGGCATCTTTTCTTGCAGGCATTTATCAGAGGCTTACTCACTGAGGCTTTGAAAGGTGTTAAGTTCAGTGACACAGGAACTCACTTAGAAAGGTAATGTTTTTCTTCCCACCAGGTGTAAGGGCTTACCACTTGTTCTGCTGTATGTTGCTGCTGTTGCTTAGTTTACTTGTATTCCGTGCAGGCTAAGAAGGGCAGCTATATTCAAGGTCGCTTGCAGATGTGGTGAGAAGAGTTGTCTCCGTGTTGCAAGTCATGCTTTCAAAATTTGGCTGAATGGAGAATCGTAAGTGCTGCTCTTGCAGTGACATACTGCTTATTTCTTGGCAAAACATTGCATTGTATATGAAATGAAATGTGAAATTTTCTTCTCTAGAGTTGAACCGAACTTCAAGAACATTGTATTTCACTATGGCATGAGGCAGATTGGTGATGAAAGCACATGGCAGCAAGTATTTGAAAAATACCTTCGAGAGCCCAGCCATGCAGAAAAAATTAAAATAATGACTGCTCTGGGACAAGTTCAAGATGAAGCCATACTCTCCAGGTGTGTTGAGGCCTACAATATGGGAAACTTATTAATCTTTGAATGTAGAAGAGCTATGATTTTGCTAGTCAAAACGTAATGTGAACCACTAACTTGCAAAGTTATATTAAGTATGTACATTATGTTACGACATGTATACATAAGACAATGATTAGCTTTCTCTTGTTCAAAAAAAAAAAAAGGAAGAATCTATGGGTTGCACATGTTTAGTACATAACCAGGAATAATAAAGTGAGACTTGTTCGAATTTAAGAAGCTAAGTTACATGTCTTTATAGATGTGCTTGCTACTGTCTTTTTCTTTTTTTTTTCCTGCTCAATTGGTCCCAAATGAGTGTCACTAGGGGTTCATTTCATATTATTACAAGTCCAACTGAGTCTCAACATGTCTTCTACTGGCTTTATTTTGGAGCCAAAGGGTCGCATGTTTATTTTTGGGTTAGCATTATTTGTATTTCTTCAGATGTTCATTGGAATCTGATTATTAAGCATATCTTACCAGGACCTTAAATTTCACATGGGAGTTACCCCTTTATTTCAAACAAGCCTTGACCCTAGTTTGTCCTTCATAGATATAGTTGAGCACAGTCTACTGTTTGACTGAAAATGATGCCGTGTTTCTGAATAATTGCTATTGAGTGTCGAGTAGAGGGACGCTCTAAAATATGGTGATTAGTATATCAGTTCATCTTACTTATACTTTTATGAATAAATAACACTGTGATGCAACAAAATATTTAATAAAAATAATCAACTCCAGTAAATTTGTATGATCAATGGAGAACAATACTTGGATATAAGGCTTAATGTACTATTTATTTTAAACATTGGCACAACATGGTCATCAAAATTTTTGGTGACATATTTTGCATGTCATTGACAGTACATTGACAATATGGTGGACCTTTTTTAATTGAGCAACAATTGTTCGTGCATAATAATGATAAGTGTCTTAATTAGGTATGAGATGCCCATGTTGTACATCTCATTACCACTACAAGTAACAAGGTTTTTTAATTTTTCATTCAGTCGATTATGAATCTCCACAGTCTCCCTGGAATCATAATGCTGATTGCTTCTACATAGTGAAACAATAGCCATGTGTTTTAATGGGAGGATTGCAATGCTGCTTTAGCATTGCACAATGCATAATCTGTCACAGACGTACATGCACTAGTGCTCCAGTGCCTGCTGTGGAGGCATGCATCTTTTTGCGAAGACCATGAAATACGGTGTCTCAGGGCCCATGAGGCCAAGCACTTGGCACTAGTGTACTGTGTGACTGTGAAATTGACACTGCGTGAGCACACATAAGAATAGGCACAACTGATGCACCCTGCATGAACCTCAAAGGTGGTATATGGCCATTCTGCTGATGTTGGAAATCATTAGTGCAATAAATTAATTAACTTAAAAATTTGTCAACTCTCTTGTCTTTTTATTATATCCACATTATCTAATAGACCCTCACCCCTAGAACCACATGAAAGAGAAAAAAATTAATCAGTGAATATAACTAATACCTGTTATATTTTAGGGTGATTGTATATGTAACAACAAGGGCTTTTTCAGGCTAGAAGTGCTAGAAAGTCTAGAATTGTATTCATGCAAGTAATGTATTTTGATATTCTTTTTGTCCCCTCAAAATTTTTTTTTGAACATGTGGAACAGAACTGTAAGTGACTCATTACATACATTCAATGTCAATTCTAGATACCTCAACTTTACTTTTGATGAAACAAAGATAAGAGCTCAGGATATTGGTACAGTTTTTGGGACTGTTGTAAGCAACCCGAAGGGACACAATCTTGCTTGGAACTTTTTAAGAGAAAACTGGAATTCCATAACCAACAAGTAAGTGGCAATGCTGGAAAAGTAAATTTCTGTCAATCATTTTTAATCATTGTTTTCTCATATACATTTTTTTATCATTTGTTTACCGATTGTTCACCGTTTTCATCTTGCTAGGTTCGGAAAGCATTCTCGTACACCAGGAAAATTGCTTCGAGCTGTCTGCAGTGATTTCAACACTCCTGAAAAGATGCAGGAGGTAACAAACTGTTGCTGATTACAGCCAAGTCTTGTGCCTATAATCAGTCGTAGGGTTGCTGCACCAAAATATTTTTGTTTTCCTTTTTCTGCAGATAAAGGAGTTTCTCAAGGAACATCCCGAAACAGATGCAACAAAACAGTCTCGGAGAGAATGCCTCCAAGATGTGGAGAACAACATCAAGTGGATATCGAAATTTGAGCCAAAAGTAGCAGAGTCTTTACGGGGATTGCTCAGTTGACCAATGTATCTCTGTGAGCAGTTCATTACTTTGTCCTAAGCCAGCATATATTGTTAATAGATAATGTTAGAAGAAAGTTCAAAAGAGGTATTTCATTTAAACCTTACTCTGTTCTTTGAAAGAGAACCTGCAGCGTGTGTACGATATACTGTGATGGTCAAAAATAGTTTTATGTACAACTTTTTAGATATGACAGATTATAAAATGGTCAAACTTGCAGGAACTTAGGGACAAGTCAAAGAACAACTGTTTTTTACCAAAGTGATTTTACAGGAGTCATGTAAATAGTTATTTGTACATACATTATTTTATTGAGAACAAGTATCATATGTGTCATTTTCTACAGAGTATTTCATCAATATCTGCATATATATTATAACATTTGCATTTCAAATTGCCACTGTTGCACATATTATAAACAAAATAAGCTGCCATTATTGTGTGACTGCCAGATATATACAATTAAATTATAAACTAATTGCATTTCATACATTGTCAATATTACATTACATTTTGCTTCAATAATCTGCATGTAAAAGTTTTACGTGGAACCTCTATTATACGGCTTTCACCCAGGCATCATATAATCACCCAAGTATCATATAATTTGGACTTTGAAAATAGCGTGTGACCCATAATGTTGCACTACAAGATTACAAGAAGTTTTAATTTGAACTACAAGCAATCGCTGGGAGGGACTTAGAAACCAAAACCACTCAGAAAGTAAATACAAAAAGAATACTAATGGGCACATGCCAATCACACATTACTGGGGAGGAGTTGAGTAACTTTCACCACCAAAGCTTGCTCGCCAATATCCTAAAGCTTTATTTCTTCAATGATGCATTTTTAAGTACATCAGTCAGCTTGATAGAGCCAAGCAGCTACTAGTGGTTTTTTTTCAAGTGCAGCAACTTACACAACAGGGGTATAGCCAAAAATTTTTTTGTGTGGGTGAAGGGGAGGAAGGCTTCAGTTCCTCGAACTACACCTGGCTACGTGAGTGGTCGGAAGGAGGTATGTGCCACAGAAATCAGGCAAGTCTCACCACTCACCACCTGTTTACAAAAAGTGAAAAGGGGAACACAGAGATGGCAAACACCAATCAAGATTTTTGGTCATGCTAGTCACTAATTAAGAAAGACTTAAATAAACCATCAGGATAAAACTAGTGATGAACATTGAGAGCTTCGCTGGTTAACCACCTGTACGAAGTGCTTGGGCAGTGATGTTTTGTTGCTATTATTACTATATATTAGTATTGCAGTGTCAGGCGATTGCGATGAGAACCAGCTTTATAGAGAGAAAAAGTAAAGAAATGTTTGTGAACAATCAACACACAAACATTAAGATAGAAGAAAACACCAGTAGCGAAAGGGAAGGGATGAGGGGGCAGCCACACGTTGTGGAGACAATGCAAAAATGATGGAGACGGTAAGCGAGAGGGAACTGCTAAATGACAGTGGCACACCTTATCTCATGCAACCCAGTCACACAAAAGGCAGTCATTGACATTGCAGATAAAATGAAACCTCTTGGCAGATGGAAATATTTTTCTTTTACCACGTACAAACCTCATTACACTACAAATGTGCATGCTGCAAAGGCCACAAAAAAACACATTCCTATACCTCACAAAATTGTGCATACGGTAACTGTTTTGAATTACAAATCACAGTGCTCTCACTGCATAAAGCTTGCAAACTGATGATAAACATGAGCTTGCCAGTTTACACCTATGGTAGACCCCATCTCCAAACCCCTTTTCGAGCAATGAGTGGCCACCCTAAACAGATATGACCCTTACCATCAAGCGTAAGGCCCTAGTAGTGGAGGAAAACAGTGAGCAGGCAGAGCTGACTACCTTCACATTTAACTTGTGAAATGCTTCATGTAGAATAAAATACTGTAATTGCCCATTATTGGGCTTGCAGTTTAGCACAGATTGCCATACGAAACAGGGGTTGTGTAATCTTGTGTTGCATATTCAGGGTTCTTAGTGCATTGTATTATCAAATGAAAAAATCTGAATCGTTGCAAAATTTGGTGGTGCATGATTGGTGTTCCACTGCTTATACATAACGTATTTCTTCGAACCAAGGTTTTCTTGCAAGAAATTCTTTGAAATCACCCACATGGTGTGACAATTGCACAATTCAAACCATTTGTGAAAGACAATTTTGTATATCTGAAGGTATGCTCTCTATGAAAAAAAATGAGATTTTAAATCATAGCATTCAGGCTCATTGAAATGCAGTAGGAAATGTGTGCCTGACAAGACATTCAAATTATCTCTTTGAAGTTAGGGGTTGTCAGTAGCATAGCGAATATATCTTAAGTGTGATGAGGGTAGTATATGATGAGGACCAAATTAGAGCTAATGTTATTCATAATGCAGTATTATACAGGATAGTTAAGTTATTTTACAATAATATAAATGATGAGGTATGGACACTTCAGTGCAATGTTCTGAATTTTTGGGTGTACACTGTGTTGCCTGTTTTTTACTTAATATAGCTTAGCATGTTTCTGTTCAAGTGTGAATCAGTATGTGCACCACAAAATAAAGGCAGGAGATCAGTGATTTTTTTTTACATTACTTCATGTGTCAACATGCTTTGATGCAATTTTGCTTCAGTTCAGAAACATATGTCCTTTCACTGTGTAGGTATATTTTAAGGCAGTAGCCAAACGACACACAAGTTGCATCCATGGTCATAATTCGCACACTTAATAGTGATAACATGCTTCTTCAAACCTTCTGTTTCATTTGAGTCAGTCATTCAATGTGCTGGAGTAGGGTCATGAGTTGAACCCAAGCTATAGTAGAGGCCATGAGTGTATCAACGCATGCCTTTCATCGCATATCATTGCTTTTACATGCAATGCTATGGTCTCACCATTAACTGCATGGAATGACCCTAATGTTTTTTGTCTGTGATGTTATTTCATTTTAGATGTACACCCTTCACCATACATGGAGCATTTCTTTAAGTACTCTTTGCCTTGCCAGTCTTTAGGTTCGAAAAAAGTGCCAATTTGGGCACATCTGTCTTGCACCAATCTAACCTATTTAAATTACCTGCAATTGAGTTATTGTGGTGGTAGACATTCATTTTGGTTTTATTTTTTTCCCGTGGGTGCCATTATTTAACGGCAAAAGTGTGCACTTCAAATTATGAGTAGTTCCTTGTCTGAAATTTTCTGATTAGTGTATTGACACCTATTCATAAATATATGCTGATGTGTGCTGTTAACCCTACGTCTAGTCCAAAGAGGCACCAAGTCAAACCTTGGTACACTATATATATGGTACTATAACCCTTATTGCTTAAAATTGAATGATCTAGAAGTGTGACTTGGTAATTATCCCATGCCTGCAGAATCATTCCCTTTGATTGTGGCACTATGGTCAAAAAGTGTAGCTTCCAAGCGTCTTTCACTACTTTTGCTAACCACCCTTGCCCCTCCCATACTCCAAGTACTTCCACTGCCCTTCAATGTGCTTGCATATATGTCATCCTACTCACACTGTCCTGTAATTTATTGTAGAAAATTTGCTTCACATCCTCAGCACTGGCTGTAGGACAGCCACTTTTAATTATTTTATCAGTTATTCTCTTGGTAAGATTGTGTATTTAATGTCCTCTATAAATTTTACTGTAACAGACAAATGGATATTTAAAATTTATATATTTACAACCTATAAAGCCAAGATTATTGTATGTATGAAGGGTATGAGTAGATGATAAAGACACAATTGAAAGTAAGGGAAATAACAGAAATCGTGTAAATGACTAATCTTTTAAGGATGTTGTGTGGTCTTTTTAGATGCTTTTTAGCCTGTAACATGCATTTATCATTTGAGCATTGCTGTAGTAAATGTTGAAATTGTGAAAATTCATAGTATACATGCAGGAAGGGCTGATAATTATAAAATAATGCTGCGGCAGATGGTGCCACTACCTTTGAGCCACAGAATAGGGCAAAGTGTGGCACATTCTAGCAGGTTTATGTAGTGCAATCATAGCAATTTGAAACAGTAGCATCAGAGAAAACTATTATCAGGTAAACATTGTATCAGGTAAAGAGCAAAGATAGGTCCCATACTTATACCATTGTCACATTCAAATAATTCAATACCTAACTGAAGGTAAATGAATGGTGTTCTTGACTTATGTGCATGCCCATTGTGGCTCACAATTTGTTTTTGTTTTTTTCAACAGGAGATATTCAATGTATTTTTCGCTTAAAAGTGCCTTTTATTACCATACACTTCGTTTTGCTTTTCTGAAGTAAAAGGCAAAATGGCAAAAAACTGTCTTGTATGGGTGTTTTGGATCACACTTTTGGTAGCTTCTCTGCATAAAAAAATGCCTAACCATGGTGACAAGGTTCAGACAGATGCAGTTAGGTGTCCCATTATGCATAATCATTTCCCGCACAACTGTTGTGGTGACAGAAGACCCCTCATGGTTCTGCAGTGAATGAATTTTTTTTTCAAATATTGAATGCTAGTTTGGATGTACGTCTTATAGCCTTCGCCTACAAAACTGGGTCTGTTTCTTTTAAATAGTCATACAGTCAGTAGTTTGCCATTTATTGACAGTTTGCATATTTGTGGATGTTCTCTGCATACATCATGGGGTTAGTCTAATATTTATCTTTATTTGTACCCAGTGAAGACTGCCTGCATAGAGGCTGCCATTCCTGTGACAGCTTTATGTGCCAAAGCAAGAACAGTGGCAGCTGTGAATAGAGTTATTTAAAATAATATTTCTCTTGTAGTAACAGCTGATTAAGTTGCCAACAAATGCCATGCTTGTCTGGAAGTGTCACCTTAGAGAGTTTGTCCACCATTCACATCAGAATAAATAGTTATAATGATTACATTTGTTTTCTCATGCTAAAATATTAATGAATTTTTTTTTACCGGCTTACTTTGTATGTGCTTTTAAATCCTCCAAAGTACCACAGTGTATGGGATATGTGCAAATGCACCTAAATTAAAGTTGGTGTAGTTTTAAAAGGAAACCACATTGTCCTACATGTCATCATTTGTGATCAGCATCTGCTTTAAAGTGTCTTGTTTTCTTATGAATCACACTTTTTTCTCCTCTGTGACCGTGCTAAAATAAAAGAAATTAATGAGGTATACTTGCATGTTTAATGTCAAGTGGCAAGCATTTAGTCATGTTTTGGTGTCCTCAGTATTCAAAATTAAAATATCATTTCATTGAAACTTGTGTGTTCTTAAACATGTTTCATTTTACCATTTTTCCTTAAGTTTATCACACTAATATATATGTATCAGCAAAAAGAGCAAAAGTTTTACTGTCGTTACAGCATGCATGCAATATTAAAGCTGCTTTTGCTTGATGGCATGACCTGGGTGTTCTACTGTATAGTTACTGCCAATTTAAGTCCTCAAAGCTGCATCCCCTCCTATACTTTCTCCCCAACAAAATAAAAGATATACATAAGTGATTGCAAAAGAAGCAACTGAGTTACAGTGAGAGCTACTGATTATGAAAATTAATATACTGCCCGAAATTTGAGCATAAGTGATTATGTAAAAGTTATGTACATGTCTTGCTGGAACTAAATTATGCAATCTCTGCAACAGCTCAGTTTTTTAAAAAATTAGAAGGTGTGGGAGGGGCTCAGATAGGCCATTGTGCTCATTAACGAATGCATTTAGGGATGATGGTGCACAGTGCTGTGATCAGTATCAAAGGCAGCAACACAGCTGAAGTTTAAAACCTAAAGCACCATTGGAAAAGACAATTTATTGTGTATTTATCTCGGCCAGTACAATTCATCATATTTCATTCTCCCGCAGAGCACAGTGTCAATTAGAAACCGCAGACAGAGGGGCAGCAATTCAACATTCATTCGTACAAGCTCCCAGTGGTGGCTGTAAGCTAGGTGACATGAGAAGACTCGGCACTGTCTGCCACAGTCTCGTCTGCTGGCCTGGTGTGCAACACGCAACCGTGCAGTCATGCAAACACGTTGTTGCGTGGATAGTGGTTTCGCTAAACATGTTTGAAACTTTGTTCACAGAACAGACATGCATGGAGCACGTGCAGCACAGTCAGGTAGTACTTTATACATGACAGCACAAAGCGTCAATTGCACCAGAAACTTTGTACGGTCGTGCATGTTCGTTGGTCGCTTGTAATTTGGCTGTTCGGTGATTTTTTTCTTATTTGTTTAGTTGTCAGATTTTTTTTACTGGTCCCAGCCGGAAAACATTTTCAGTCCTGGCCGGATTATGACACATAAGTAGTTTAGTTTCAGCCGAAATTTTTCTGGCTGAAATGCACGCCAATCTGGCAGGGAATGGATAGAAGCAGTTCTAGCCAGAAACGGAAATCTTTCCAGCCAGAAACGGAAGCCGTTCTCATTGAAAATAAAAGTCGTTCCAACCTGACACACGAGATTTTCCTGCTGGAAATCGCAGTTGTCCTGGCAAAATATTTGGAGCCCTCTAAATCGGGAAGTATGATGTTTTCAAGGAAAAGGTGCCTTTCCTGATGCAATAATACGGAGGCCATCTTTTGGAAAAAATATTTATTTCCTTCGATATTATTATTTGGCCTGCCTCGCCTCCTTCTCTACCCCTTTTATTTTTTTGCTAAGGATCCCCTGCAGCTCAAGGGAAGCCACCGTCACATCTACCATCATTCTTAAAAAAAGAGAGAAAGCTAAATCAGCAAAAAATACACAAAAATGCACCACATTCACCCATGACATGAAACAACTTGACTAACGACGTTGGCGAAACCTTTTTGTGTTCGCGTGACAAAGAGTCGAGACACTGTGTACGTCTGTGAAGCCATACGTATACAGTGAAATTCGCATATTAGACGAACTTTTTTGATGTCGTAACATATGCAAACAGACATCGGCAAAGTGAACTGAACAGTCTAAAATTTACCATCTTGAGACGACGCACGCGCGCGCAGATGAAAAATGTTTTATTTCCTGTTGTACTATTGAACTGGAAATACTCCGGTTCAATAATTATCCAACTGGAAATGGAACCTTTTCTTGCTGCCTTAATTTGATATTTCAGCCCAGACTGGATGGATATCCTTGGGAACTCTGTCAGATATGAAAGGCTAGAATTCGGAAATATTCCAGCAAGAGCTTGTGGGGTCTCGCCATAGAGAGCACCGCTCTCGGAGCGAAAAGACGCAGAGGCCGCGGTTGGAACGCACCAAACAACACACATTTATTTTTAACTACTTTTAGAACTACGATATTGCCAGCGAAATAATACATCAATACGCTAAACAAGCTTAGACAATGTTCCACAACACTCAACACCATAACAAACAAACGAGGTAGTGCGAAGGCAGCGTCACCCAGGGCAGACGACCTGTAAAGGGTCTTCAATGACCTGCGGTTCCGTCCACTGCGAACCCACTGCAAGAGACAACCGTTTGCGCCAACCACCAAGCGCTAAAGAGGACCGCTCTAGTCATGTTCTAGCCACTCATCTGTCATGTGCCGCCACCCAGGAAGACTTCTAGTACACTTTAACCCAAGTATGGTGGCTAGAATTGGGAGGTGACGCCAACGAGAGCTCGGAGCCAATCCTTCGTTTCGAGCAGCACGGCGGTGGCGCTGTCGGCGGAATGATGATGATAGTTACGTGCGCCGTGCTTTGAGCGCACGGACCTTTCAAAGATGCAGTTGCTGAAGCATGATTCAGATAACTTGCTGATTCAGATTACTTACCGTGACAATGGCTGCATGACAGAATGCCATTTCAAGTCTTAAAAGAAATTAGTTGCCACTGCGACACTTCTGTTAGGTTGAATCTACTTAACTTATAAAAGCGTTCGTTCGCGTATCCCTGCAGTGTTTTGGAGCACAAGGTTACGGCCTACATAAAGAAAAAAAAAACTTTACAGAAGTTCTAGGCGAGGAAAATGAAACGCAGTTAATATTTCTTGCACATCATGAAATACAGGGTAACATAAGAAAGAAATGCGCACATTTACGTATGCCCATGTGTAGTTAAACATTGAAACATTGTACATAGACAGTGCATCGCTTGTCACAATGTAATGAAATGCATACAATCACTTTCCACTCGACAAAAAATCAAAAGAGTTAACAGTTACAATATCAAACTGATATTGTAACTCTAAGCTCTATATTGTTTTTTTTGTCATGTGGAAAGTGATTGCATGCATCTCATTACTACATTGTGCCAAGTGATGTGCTGTCTATGTACAGTGTTGTTTAACTACACATGAGCATACGTAAATGTGCGTATTGCTTTCTTATGTTACCCTGTATTCCATGATGTGCAATAAATAACTGTGTTTTATTTTCCTCGCCTAGAACTTATGTGACGTTTTTTTCTCTTTATGTAAGCCGTAACCTTGCGCTCCAAACCACTGCAGGGATACGCGAACGATCGGAGCATGCGTCAGCTTTAGCGGTTTCAGACCTTCTTGCTTATAATTGCGCTTGCTGTTCTGGGCTTTAACATAAAAGTGGTACCTACTAAGAACATAAAACTTAATTTTGTTTGTGACGGGCATACTGTGGTGAGGGTATCCAACAAGGTCAAGCTTTCTTAAGTGCAAGAAGGGAACCAAGTCCATTATGCTGTCAAGTTTGACTTCTTTTCCACTGCAGCAGTGGGTAAATGTGTTCTCGAGTGGTCAAAGTTCATTGAGCTTGGTTAATGTGTGCAGCAGGCCTCGTCGGTCATCAGCAGCAGTGAAGGATGCTGCAGCAAGAGATGACTCGTTCTCGCCTTGTAGGAAGTGCTGGCTGCACTCTACACATATGGTGCTTGCAACGCTTTTTCTTGAAACATTTCCGGTCATCTAGTACATGAGTCTGCGTCGCTGCTTTCCACGACCATGCTTACTTGCTCGGAGCAGTGACCGTATTCACTGAGTACTTCAAGTGCTTCGGCAAAGTTTCATGTGTCAAAAAAGCTTGTCTAACTTCCTCCGAGGAGTGAGGTCATTTCAGTTGTTTGCTCCCAGCAGACTCCTGAGAAGTCTTGAAGGCACATTGCTTCCTTTCGATGGTTTTGGAAGCTAAAAGCATCGGCCAAGATTAGGAACTGGTAGACAGTCGGATGATCAGTGCACATTTGTCGGACGATTCCAAACAGCCACTCCAGGAGTTACTATATAACTCAATCGGCATCTCATATATAGCTGAGGTTCAACTTCATCGTCAGGTAGCGGAGAAGATGCAGCGTGCTTGACAAGGTAACATGAAGACCCTCAGCTGTACGGCGGATAATTAAGGAAACTTGCAGCCATGAGCGAATCAGTGGCGTTGCCTCGCTTTTGTATAGCGCTGTTCATCGGTCCCGCTGAGCTCGGCACTCCACTGTCGTGTTAGCAACCAAATACATTTTGCCAGCGAGACATCAACGTGAGAGTTGTTTTAGAAAAGCGCTTCCACTTAAGCCACGTGGGAAACTGCAAATGCTTTTAGGGACGAGTGGACGAAAATGCGCGTTCCTCGCCCGCATCACTATGCCGACTGCATCTAGCGCCATGGTCGCCGTGGTCGCAGCGCTTGAAAAAGAGGATAGCTCGCGCTCGGCGAATAATGCGGGTGCTGGCACGGAGGAAGGAAAAAGGTAAGGAGAGGGCATGCCCAGCCGGCGCAGGGCGTAAAAAATGTGGCGGAAATGACATCATGGCGGCCATATTCAGTAGGCACAATGGCGGCGTTGTTATGGTTACGTGTTGCGCAGTGAAGCTGGTCTAGCAGTGAGCGGCCGTGGCTGGCGGCGGAATGTGTGCCTCCCCAGGTCTCGTGCTGAGCCGTGGCGGACAATATCTGTGCTCTGCGCCGCGTTATTGGTTACGCAGTGTTCGTCTGGCTGTTACATTACTCTTAGCAACGTTTACAAATCTCTTTGTCCATCACGGGGTTTCAACAGTGCGTAGAACAAGTGCATATCTATGTGTCGTGCGGCGGATGACGCGGATGAAGCAGTTAGTGTTCAGCGAAATGGCGTTGGGCACCATGACGAAGCTGAATGACGACGAACGCCTTGCAGGTCAGTGAAGGTTGAGCAGTGCTCCTGCTTGTGACAACGGACGACGCTGTTGAGCCCAGCAAGACGCCGTGAGGACCATGTGCACATACGTAGTTTTGTGTTGTGTGTGTACAGTAACAACTTGCATGTGCGTATTAAAACACCTTTTCTGTTCCGCTTGGTACACTCTCCACCAGCACTGCATG